AATTCAAATGCCAACTTGATCCCTGTGCCTGCTCTCAAATGGAGGAGTGAAATGAATGTAATCTCTCCTTTGGAAAATGTGAGATTGTCAGATTGGGATCATGCAAGTTCAGGACAGCATTGTGCATTCAGAGAACAAGCCAGCACCCATTTCCCTCAGGGACTAGAAGCACACAACACACAGTGCAACGCAATCCCCCTTGAAGACGATAAAAAATGGTGTGCATGTTCAGAATAATTCAGAATATGAGTCTATGGGGGGCCAGACTCCCCTAAATTCCTGGATCCAGTAAAATGTTTGAATTTCATCAAGGACTGACGTGATAAACTAGGTGCCAGAGCTTTCTAAAGTTTTAAAATATAAGCCAGGCTAGCTTCCTCATGAGGTAATCTGCCAGAGAGGTCAGCCATTAAAGGTAATGGCCCATTAAGAAAGCCAAGGAGAGGCGGTTGTGTTGCAAGATGGCAAATAACTGATAGAAGACAAAGCCAGAGTTCAACGCAGAGTTTTAGAGTTGGTTGTGGAGGGGGGAAAGGTTGCAGGAAGGTAAAGACAGCAAGCTGGAGGGGGGTTCAAAGCATGAGGATTGATTTCTGTTTGAATCCGAGGCTGTGGTTATGGGAGAAACAAGGCCCTCTTGGGGTGTTTAATGCTGGTCTCCATGGAGTGTCCTCTCACTGGGGAATAAGGAGCACAGCCAGCTTAAACCAAAATCTAGCCTTCTCTTTCTTTATAATGGACATTTCTTGGTTTGTAAGCAAATGGCTGTTTATTTTAAATATTTGCTTTGTCATAGTTTAATGAAATTCACTTTCAAATGAATGGAATCTCAGGGTTCTGCGAATGTTCTCTAAAGGTTTATGTAGCCACTGGTATGATGAATGCTTTTTTGCTTTGCTGCCATAGGAAAGATCAGTCACATAGTTCAAGGCAACAAGTCTGACTTTCCTTCTGCTTTGTAGGTTATATTTACACTAAAAACTAGGAAGCTGAACAAGCTCAACCAGTCAGTCAAATAGCTTTTCCAGAGTACCTATTTACCGAGCATTCAAATTCCATCTGAAAATAATGATAGCCGAGAAGCAGAGTATGCTGTATGCACCACTGAATTTAGTAGGACTTCTGAGCAGACACAGTTAGGATTCTCAGGGTCACACGTTAATGAAGCTCTGTAGGAGTGCTTTCCTACAGAGTCGTTTGATATGAACAATGCGGTCCTTTGCATCTTCTTCCCCACCACTACTGCACAAACTGGAGTTTTGCTTACATGTGTTTTCAAATGAAAACAGTCTGTTAACGCTTTTTCTCTGGTTATTTCTTTAATGTTTTTGTGTAAGAAATATTTATGTGTGCATAATGTAAAATAACTGCTTCAGCTATTCTACTTTTGCTTAAACAGAAAAAAAAAAGCTGTGCAAAATGGCCATTGCTGTGTGGTAAATTGAGGTATACTGACATGTATCTTTTAGAGGACTTTTCACTTGTTCTTTCAAGGCAGGCTTCACCTGCTGCTAGTCATATTTCACTGTGACTTTGTCTAGGCTGCAAACCTGATTTTACATGGCACTTCATTCATGCAATTTCACAAAGCAACTGCTTCGGCTGAACAAAAAAATCACTGTAATTTACACATTGTATTGCTCTGGGGATATTATTTAATTAAAACCAGCATGTGACAGAGGGAGTGTCTCTAAGAACAATTCCCCAACTGATGCTGTGGGATGGCAAAGCAGCAAAAATGTCATTTTGGCAAGAAAAAAAGCACATGAAGGGTGGTGGTGGGGGGAGCCTTCTGATTCAGTGTTTCCAGAGATCAGTCATTCCAGTCTGGTCCTAGCTGACACCATTTCAATCTGTAGCTTTCCCCCAAAACCTAGTACAGAGAGCACATAATGATTCCGCCTAAGCATTAAAGCAGAAGCAGGGAAACCTTTTGAACCCATGGGCCACATTTCCTCATGGGCAACCTTCTGCAGGCAGCATGCCAGGTGTGTATGAAGCCAGATGCAGAAGTGGGTGGAACAGCAGGTGTGACTCTTACATATTTGCACAGAAGGCTATATTCCACCTATGCAAACAGAGGGTTTTCCATATAGTCACACACCTCTCCCTATCCTGCATCCAGAGAGAGCAGAGCAGAGCTGTGGAGCAGTGTAACCTGCTGATGGGTCTGGTCTGAGAAGAGTCCCAGAGGCCAGATTGGGAGACCTGGAGGTCCACAGTCACACCCACCACCTGTGCCAGAGGTTTAATACCCTGGCATTAAAATTGCTTGATCTGTAGCAGCAGCAGCAGCAGTACTCCTCCTTTGTGATGTGCATCGGTCTCTCTCAACTTTTGGGATAAATTTAAAAACATCCCCATTTTCCCAGGCATTAAATTATTTATTTAGAGCCTTCATTACCCCGCTCTTCAGCCAGGAAGCCTCCCAGAGTGGCTGGTCGTTCCTCTTAAGCCTTTCTTATTTATTTCTTCATCCATCCATCCATCCATTCATTCCACAGTGGTTTATGCACAATCTAAACAGGACAGTCCCCACCTACAGGCTTGCAATCTTAAAAATTGCAACATGTAAGGGAGAAGGGACAGGGATGAAATCAAAGCTCAGGCACTGATTTCTGAACGGTTTTTAAGCAGATGTTGGGTGGCCATTTGTCATGTATGATCTAGTTGAGATTCCCGCACTGCAGGAGGTTGGATCAGATAACCCTTAGGATCCCTCCTACTGTTCTAACGCATTTTTAATTCTTTTTAATAAACATGGGGAGAGGGCGATGACAGCTGAATGTTTGAAAGTCAAGACTCTGAAAATGAATCACCCCTGTTTCTCTTTGACTCTAGTACGTGCTTCACCCATTAAATTCCAAGTAAATTATCTGTTTAAACTTGAAAGTTTTAACATAATTACAAGCTAGTGTAGTTTTCAATCATGCATCCACACCCTTTGCAACGTTGCCTTTGAAAGCATTTGCCACTCTCTCACAAACAGAGCAAATAAAGTGGTAGGTTAAAAACAACAGTCTGAGCCCCACATGGCTTAAACACACCTGGTTAGTAATGTCCTCCTAGAGGCTAAAACGTATTTTTCACTTTATTTGGGGGGGGGCATTGAAAGTGAACTCCCTATTTGCCTTTTCTTTCAGCAAGGAAATCGTTTAAATATATACATATATATATGGGCATGATCCAAGCAATGTGAAGCCATAGCTCATTGTAGACTGCCTGCTGTGCATGTAGATGATCCCAGGTTCAATTGCTGCCATTTCTAGGTAGGGCTGGGAATGTCCCCTGATGAGCCTCTGACAGTCAGTGTAGACAATCTCCATTGAACCCTATGGGACTTACTTTCAAGTAGGCATGTATAGCATTGCACTGTTCACCTTCCTGTTGAAACCAGTGGGATTTAAGAGGCTGGAACATGCCCTCTGGGGTTTACCCTTGTATTCAGAAGCCAACAGTGAGAATGATAACAACCCACAAATCCAAATTTAGCACAAAGCAGTTTGAGCAGATGCAGGAAATGCAATCTCTTTGAAAACATGTATCTAGTTTGGCCCTGATGTGCTTTGAGTTCTGCTGGCTCTCAGCAGGGGAACACAGACAGAATTAAAAAAACATCTCCTTTCATGTGCTTTCATAAGGAGTTCCACAGTAGCCATGTGCTGCAAGGAATAACCCTTCCTTACAAAGACAACTCTAGTTCCTTATAGATATCACAGTCTGCATACACACCATCCATTTAAAGTACACACACCCAAGAATCCTGGGAGCTATCGTTGGTTAAAAGTACTGGGAAGTGAAGTTTATTAACTACTTTGGGTTTTGTTTTTTTACAATCAAGCAGAATTTAACTCTGTGAGGGTTAAACTACAGTTCCCAGGATTCTTTGGGGACATGGCAGATATGTCTTAAATGTACAGTGTGTGAGCAGTCATAGAATTTGTTGTGGACCATGACTGGTTTGCTTAAAAAACAACCACCCCAAAACAGTTTATATTGTCCTTCCCTGCTGCACATTAAATTGCTTACAAATCAGGGTGGGTGGGGGAGAATAGCTATAGGTGTAGGCTTTTAAAATAAAAGGAAGAGGGGTCTCCTAGACCAGTAAACACTCCCTTATGTGAGCTTCAGCAGGTTTTTAAACCCCTGTTCATTTCCCCCAAGCCTCTTTCGATTGTACCACACCTGTTCTTACATTCTGTGTGCTGGATAGCTTTTCAGAGACTGGAAGGCATTATGTTAGAACCGTCACTGCCTCAGGCACACAACTTAAAACTTCTGACCGAACAGGTTTCTGCAGCATTATTAAACCTGTAAAACAGATTTGTCCAGAGACCATAGATGGATAGAAATACAGGCGTACCATTGGTGAACATAGGGCTATCATGCTACTTTATCTGGAAACTCACCAGCCTCGTCCTTTCAGTCTTGGATTGAAGGAAAACCTCTCCCAATTCACAAAGTGTATCTGCTCTTTCCTGCAACTGAATGCACATTTGACCTGGGAGTATGACACTTCGAACGCAGTAGGGTTTACTTTCGCATTGGAGCAGACTGCACACACCGGGGGAAATGCTCTTTATATATGCTCAGAGGCCCTGCTATTTTTTTCCAAACAGGATGACGGGTTGAGATGTGTCACTAAAAATTGCTGCTGAATTTCCAGGGTCTGCTGCTGCTTTCTGAATTTTTATTGCAGATGCGATTTAACAGTTAAAGCATTGCTAATCGCTGATTAGAGACTAATGTGTCTAAGCCCGTACAGAAACTGTTCAATAAAGCCGTGTTCAGTGAGGGAGAGTTCTTTCGACTACGTAAACGCGAAGAATTTTGAAATCTGACGAAATCCCACCTAATCCAGCATTCTTTGCAAAGAGAGCCAGCAAGCACCAGGTAGAGCACCGTAAAATGTTCAGCGATCTCACTGTGACCTAGAGCATGTGCAGATTTCAATCTCGCATAGCACATGTATCTTTGGGGATATTATTATTATTATTAGGTCAAGAGCCTGGAAAGGCTTTCACATAGCTTAACCACGCCCTACGATTTACGAAGGAAAGGCCGCGCCCGCCCCCCTCCCCCGGCGTCTGCCCATGCTCAGAGGCATTCCTTTCCCCCATTGTCCCCGATCTCCTTCGCGTTCCGAGAACATTGGCCGGCGTTGAAGGGCGCCTGGCAGGCCCGAGGGCTGCGGCGTCGGCTGCGCGGATCCCGCCAGGCCGCAGGGGGCAGCCGCGAGTCGCCTGCCGAGCTGGGCGCGGGGCTTTCTCCTGCTCCGCCGCAGCTGCTCGTCGGGGCAGTAGTATCCGCCGCCGGGCTGGGAAGGGAAGAGGAGAGCGAGAGCGAGCGAGAAGGGAAAGGAAGAGCAGGGGCCGCTGCGCAGCCAGGACCGCGGGGCGGGGGAGGGGCCAGCCAGGCCGACACCGAGCGAGCCGAAGGCCGTAGGCGAACCCAGCCGGGGAGAGGAGCGCCGGCCGAGGCCCACACCGAGAGCCGCCGCAGCACCACCACGACGCCGACTGGGTGGGGGTAGCCGCCGCTGCCGCCGCCTGCCTGCCTGCCAGCCACCCGGCCCGCCGCGGAGCGAAGGTACTGCCGGGGCCTTGAGGGCCGCAGCTCGCCGTGTTGCGGCGCCTGAGGAGGCCTTTCCGAGGGAGCCTTGGCGCTTCGGCTTCCCGGGCGCGGGAGGCGTTGGCGGCCAGGAGGGGGGGGGTCCTCTGCCTGTGGAGCTCGGGCCCCGGGGCCCTTGAGGCCTCCTCGGCCCCGCTGGGTGGCTGCGTCCGCTTGACCCTCAGGGTGTGTCCTCGGGATGCCTCGACACGGGTTCGGCGGCCCCTGACGTGCCCTGCTGGATGGAGGCGGATTTCTTCCCCTCTCCGCCCCGCCTTCTTCCTCTCTCCTTTATTATACCTTCCGCGCCCGCGGCTGAAGTGCGCGGCTCCAGCCGACCTTTGTGACTGTGGCCGCCGAGCCCGGGAGTCGGCTAGGGGAGGGACGGAGGGAGGGCGGAGGTCGGGGGTGGGAAGCAAAGGGGTTCCTGCGAGGCGCCTTGGCGGCTCTTGCTCGGGGGGGGGGGGGCGGCATTGTTGTCCTTGTGGGGCTCCAGGAAAACTTTGCTTCGCCTTGGGGATCCTCCGTCGGCGTTGGGAGAGGGAGGAAAGGAGGGACCTCCTCGAATCCGGAACTGCTGCTAGTTCGTTCTCTTTCTTTCTTATTTTTTTAAAGGCAGCCTTTTGGGGCTTTGAGCGGCCAGAGTCTGTCGTCAGGTTAGTTAAGCCGGTTTCTTGGTGGTGCAGGAATGAAAGCGTATTTGCTTTTCTCTTGCAAAATTGCCCTGTACGCAAAGGGCCCCGGTTTGCGTTCATGCAGCTACTACATAAATCAATCTAGCGCTTCTTGGTTGCTAGGTTGTTTTAATAAATAGCGTAGATGAGTAGGCCTGTGCCTATTTTTTTAAAGCCGGAATATCGCAGTAGTAAATAATGAGATTGAGGGTGAATCACAAGGTTCTTTGTATACAGCAATTATCCTTCCTCTGTTAAACTGATTTGATCTGGTCTAATGCATCCCTCTTGAAAACTCGGACAAATGGTGCTAGCTGCCCTGCAAAAAATATGTACCTATATGTATCCTGTACATACAGGGTGTTTCTTTTCAAAGAATTTTTTTTGAGTTTTGCACAGAGTGATATTTTTTATCTGTTTTGCTGTTTGTAAACCTGGAGTTTCTGAAAATATACTGCAAAGTAACATTGGGTCTGAAGTCCCATATAAGATTTGTTTCTGGAGAAAATGCAGCTACTTTAGACAACATTTCTGTTCCAAATGGTAATAAGAGAAATGAACCAATATGATGGACAGAAGTAGTATTTTAGGTTGGCATGTTCATAATCTTGTCTACAGCCAAATTGGTTTAAAGTACTTGGGTCAACCGATTCCATTTTATAGAAGAGTGCTCTGGATTGGGTTGTACTATAAAATTTTAAAGACGTAAAATGCTCTTGTGGAAAAGTGTGAAACATCAGATGCCTCCCATTAGGTCACCTGTGGCTTTGGAATATGTTTCCTCTTTCGTTTTAAAGTGCATGAATCAACTTAAGAGTATAAACATGACTCAAACTCTCTAGTCTAGGTATCATCAACCTTTTCAGTTCCAGGGTCCACTTTTAACATATACATGCATTTGGGGACCTATTTCTTAATCTTTTACCATATATTTGCATGGTAGCAGTGCTCCTGTTGTGACCCACATTGGATTAGGTCCCAGTCCACTGGTGGGTCCTGACCCACCAGTTGAAGACCAGTGCTGTAGACCCTGCAAAAGTGACTGTACGGCCCAGGAGTTGGGGCATTTTTTTGATATTGGCTGAGGGTCCAGCATGACAAATAATTGCACCTGGTAGTAATGAGAGACTGATAACAAGGGCCTCCAGTGCAAGAAGAAGGTGAATGAGGAGTGGAATTATGTGGTTGCAAGCAATTTAGCTTGTTGAATGTGCATTATAATTACTTGGAGTGGACAAAAGCATTTCCAACACTGGGCTCTTATACATTTTTATCAATCAAGCTTATGTACTGGTTTCTATTTATAGTAGAATATTGTTTTTTTTAATAATCCAGTTAATGATGGGATTCATGCTCTGGAGAAAATTTACCTGAATTGTTGAGGAAATTGTTGCTTTTGGCTCTTCTTAAAAAAAACAAAAACTAAATTACTAATTTCTTTAATCTGTGGAATTTTAACAGAAGAGAACAGTTTCTGCACAGACAAATCAGTGGTTATAAACAGGTATATTTGAAACCACCTGTTTTTTAACACAGTCCTATTAAGTTGTCCATAGCAGCTGTTGAGAATAGTAGCCTTAAATTTGACTCTGCTGAAATAATTTTATCAGGAACATCTTTTATACTTGGTTGAGGTTCATGTTGTCAGTCTTTGGGAAGAACACAATGTAATATTGTAGCTTTGGAATATAGGCTCCTAGTGTTACATTTATGGGTTCCATTTCTGCACAGTTAGGTGCTTAAATTTCTTTGACTTCAGCAAGATTCAGGCGAATCCATAGGATAGTAACTTTGCGAATTATAGCAGAACCACATAACAGTTGCTTGTTATTATTGAAGATGAATTTTGTCATTGATTTTTTTTAGTGTTTGTCTGGCAGAACAAGTAGGTGTTTCTCCTATGGCACAAAGTGATTATATTATAAATCGGTCAATTGGCATAGTATTTTGCATCTCTAGTTGTAATGTTTCCCAATAGTGATAATAATAATAATAACAATAATAATAATGTAATTGTTGTATTTGAGTACAGATCCTGAAATGTTAAAGTGATGTCTGTCTGACGTGTTAAGTAAGTTCTCAGATTTGCTAAGTGGAAATGAAAAACATCCAACATTATGTTCCTTTAACATTGGCTGGGATCTGTAGATCCCTATGTGTACACCCTTCTAGCCTCATGGAAAGCTGTTCTGGATAATCTGATGACCTTTTGGTGCAACTTTTCAGGGATATGAATGGCTGCCACTAGAAGGGGATAGCCTTTGGATCTCAACCATTATTTGTTTTGTTTCTGTACATGTCTGCTTTCCAATATACACAAATTATACAGTGAACAACAGTTAAATGTTCTGCTTTGTTCAAAATAAGTTTAACCTATATTTTCATTGGTTATTCCTGTGTTACATGAAAATATGGTTTCTTAAGAGTGTTTTTCTTATTATCACTTTCAAACCCAGGGCTACGCTTTCTGTGAAGTTATGTCAAGAATGCCCCACCTCTGAAATGACTAGATTCCTAATAGGTTTCATTGAAAGTGGAAAGGCAGTTATTTTTCACATTATAAAATGGCTTACATTTTTAATGTTGGGTCCCTATTAAATTGTGCTAATAAAACTATTGCTTTACCTTTAAACTGACTGTGTAATAATTTCTGTTTTAGTTCTTTAAGAATCCTAGTAGCATCCTCACAAGCTTATTCATGATTCGAACATTACTACTGATTAAAAGGAGTAGTAGGGTTTGATTTTGTATGACATTATAAACTTGCTCAAGGGCTCTGGAAGATTCAAGTCCTGTGACAAATCAATTCTAATTTCAAGTCACATTGAAACTAGATCTCATTGATGTTGAGAGTACATGCTACTGCTGCAGGTATTAGTAATGATGGTTCATTACTTTAGGTTTTGTGGCATGGTAGGGAAACACAAATCACATTTTTCAAGAGAGAGAGATACCAGTATGGTTAAGATTGTATGATCAACTTTCCTTCAACCAAAGCAGTGTTATAAACTCAGGTGCTGTATATAAGCTAGGCACTAAAAGGCTCCTTAAATAAAGATTACATTTGCCAAAATGGAATGTCTAGTTGCCATTTGGGGGCAAGGCAGCTCTAAAGTCGTATTTTTCAATATGACTTTTTGGTTCCTGAAATTCATTCTGATTGTGCAGATAAAAATATAACTGATAGAATTCTATAGGATGTGGTATTAGTGTGTGAAAACAGTCAAGGTCCAATGATCCCCAGGCATGCATATCCAGGTGGTGGTGTCAGGCGCCATCCTGGTGCTCAGGCATCTTCATTTGGTCACAAGTGGTCAGTAAGCCAGGTGCAAAATTATTCTGGCTCATTTCTAGCACTGATGCAGAGAACATCACCACTGAGGATTGTGGCACTTTAAAGACTAATAGTCGCATCCTATGTTAGCTGCCTGCAACCAAAATGGACTTCTGCTGGTGCAGGACTTCCTCACTTCCCTGTAGTCCCCCCCCCCCCAAATCTACTCTTAGGGGACTCACTGGAGCAGATATGGGGAGGGTCTCGGAAGCAAAGAGGGAATTTTGTTTCATGAGCACTAGTTTGCTTATTGAACGTTGGCTGTCACTCTAAAACAGTATTGAAGAACTTGGTGCCTTGCAGATGTTTTGAACTGCAACTTTTACTAGCCCCATCCAGTATGGTTCTGCTGGCTAAGACTGATGGGAGTTGTAGTTCAAAACATATGCAAGATACCTGGATGGCCATGTCCTACCCCAGGCATAAGCAAACTCGGCCCTCCAGATGTTTTGGGACTACAGCTCCCACCATCCCTAGCTAACAGGACCAGTGGTCGGGGATGATGGGAATTGTAGTCTCAAAACATCTGGAGGGCCGAGTTTGGGGATGCCTGTCCTACCCTAACAGATTCATTGTGGCATTGGATCAGATGACATATGATGCAGTGTCACAAGACTGTTTTTGCTCCCGTAGCTGAACACTGATATCTCTCAGGAATTTTTCCAGAAAATAGCTGTCCTGAGTTGTATGTGTGTGTGTTTTCTTCTTTGCTTATGTTCCCACTTGTTAGTGTTGTAACAAAATTAATAATTGTAGAAGAGCCAGAAATAACCTGCTGCTGTGCAGTAATTCTTCGATTTGTCTTTTAAAGGGGGGGAGCTTTAAAAAGAAAATCAAAGATAGCAACATTTAGAACTTATTTTAAAAACAGCACACATCTTTTGTTCAGGAAATAATTGCAGAATAAATAAAGCTGTCTTAAGTAGTTAGTAATGAATTCACTCATTGCTATTTTTCACAACTACTTAAGATACTTAAGCTGCTCCTTCTTAGAATCGGGCCACATTTGCTGCATCTATAAATAAGCGTGTTGAATACAATATGGCAAGTGCAGCACTAGGCCGCAGAGTATGAAGTTACAGGCAGACACACCAGTGCAAATGTTTAGGATATAGTTGCCAGTTTCCCTAACCATCCTTAAATAATTTTAAGACAGTCTTACTATGAATAGCACCACTCACTCCTTCTAGTAATTTCGTTTAAAACATCCATTGTGACCCCCAATCTCCTAGAAGGAGATTTTAAGCTTGGCAGTAGAATAGCTTACTTGATTGCATAGAGCTGGCTGATGCAAGGTGTGCCATACTATTGTTGCTCTCTGGTTTATAACTGTAAAACGCAGATGTGCATGCAAAGTTTAAAATTGCCTCTGAATTCCTTGGGGCATGTCCTCAAACAGAACAGTTTTGAAAAGTTCCTCTCTAATTAGATTTCAAACTCAGTGTTTGACCTTGTATAATCTTGTTGTTGCACCAGAATGGATGAGGGTGTGGGTAGATTAATGTGCTGCACGTGCAGCATGCTTAAATTTATTAATAAAAATAAATTTCCCTTGAGTGGGAAAGAGGCTGGCATTTATACCACAATAAAAGCGGAATGTGAAAAAGAATATAGGAAGTTGAGTTGGAAATGGCAAGTTATTTAATTTTTAAAAATTCATAGGTTGGAGCCTAAGAATTGCTCCCCTGCATCTTCTGGAAAGCCACTCTGTAAGAGCCAAGGGATGGTATTAAATATATGGAGGGGGTATATCTGGAAGTTTGAAACCACCATTCATTAAGTGCTAAAAAAATTGTTGCTCTTTTATGCAATCAACCCTTAGGATATTACTGAATTTTGGCATTTTGGTCCTGGATGTGCTTATTGAAATGTTTGAGTAAGCACATTTAGGGCTGTTTTACAATCTGAACCTCGGAGTCACTGCAGTAATGTAAGTTTGGGACTAGTAGTAGCTAACAGATGTGCCCTGTGTAAGAAGAGCAAAAGGATGGGACTTTGCCACAGTTCCAGCAATATCCATAAAAACTAATATGGGTGCTGTTGGGTAAGACTGGAAACAATTCAAATTACAGCCAACTATGTGAGTCCAGCCCTTTGTGAACTATTAAAATGGGACAGAGCAAAGCAGGATAGATTCCCATTTGCATAGGATGCTATTATAAATATATCAGGAGTAAGCTATGTTTTTGCTGTCACAGAGGCACATAACTTATTCTGAGGCTGGCTCAGGTTCTCTGAATTTCAGCACATTGCCATTCAGTAATTAATAGTGTGTTACAGGGGACACATGAATTGAATCACATTGTACAGTGGTACCTCGGGTTACATACACTTCAGGTTACAGACTCTGCTAACCCAGAAATAGTGCTTCAGGTTAAGAACTTTGCTTCAGGATGAGAACAGAAATCGTGCTCTGGTGGCGCAGCGGCAGCAGGAGGCCCCATTAGCTAAACTGGTGCTTCAGGTTAAGAACAGTTTCAGGTTAAGAATGGACCTCTGGAACAAATTAAGTACTTAACCCGAGGTACCACTGTACAATACAAATATATATATTTACTTTCTCTTTTAAATCCTTATATTTAAATTTTTGTTCCATGACTTGTAGTACATTATTTTAAAGCTAGTTTTATGCATTGTGATATGAATATAATTTTAGTACAGGCAACTCCCATTTTTCACACCTTCAAAGAATGTGTGACTGCACATGTGCGCATTGCCACATTGCCTGTATATCAGTTCATCGAAATACGCTGCATCTCATGAGCATTATCAGGCAAAGAAAAGACTATTCTCTACATTTGTCAGAATGTCAGAAGAATCTCTCAACTACTCAGTGTCATGTCTAGACTAAAATTACGCAGCCCCATAAATCTTAATTGTTTTTTTGATTGGACTGGCTGTTATTGACAGTTATTGGGAATAGGTTTCCTCTTTTACCCTCACTAGCTGACCAATACTTCTCTGGATTAGGATAATACTTCTCTGGATTAGGTTAATACTGACTAGATCTGAAACCAAAGATTGAAGCTGGTAAGCAAATCCTGATCATTTAAGAGGGAAACTGGATAGAATTAACCAAAGTTAATGTTGCTGTAAGGGCATGGAAATGTTTTTTCTTTTCCTTTCTGGAAGAGGAACGGGGGAAAGGAGTATGTGATCTAGTGGCCCATTCTAGATCCCTTAACTATGGGGCCAGGCAGAGGCACACACACACCAATACATAATATTCTAGGGCTTTGGTGCTATGCATCAGTTATTAAAAAGCTAAAATGCACGATAAATGAAATATTTCACAAATGTGTATATAGTTGGTGTGCCCTCCTAGTTAGCAAATATGAACAAAATATAGTGCAGAGGTCCTATTTAACTTGTAAATCAATGTTCTTTATTATCATTACTGACGTATAAATAGAATGCTGGACCAACATCAACATTTTAAGCTGAGGTTTTCCACTTGGTGATTTAAATCTTGATTTATATTGCTAGCTTAAATCAGTCCCCCAATGTTGTATAAATGAACAGATTCAGAATTAAGCCCAAAGGGGAGCAGCCAACTAGTTCATACAGAAATAACTACAGCAGTTTCTCAAACATATGTGATCTATTTTTGAGGCATCAAGATGTAATTTTCTCTCATACCAGTCATACCCTACTTCAGCTTTAAAATGTGAGGAAGCAGATTAAGCTTTGTAACCTACTGCATAATTTTAACAAAAACATATGTAACATTAAAAGTACTTGGGCTGTATATAAGCTAGCTAAGACTGCAATACTAAGCATAGTTTCTAAGGAGTAAACTCCACTGCGATTTACTTCTGAGCTAATATGCACAGGAATACTCTGCATGAAAAGGACCTTTTCAGTCTTTAGACACCTCTAAAAAGTTGTAACAGAAAAGTATATATTGCACCATGAAAAGCAAAATTTAACTTACTCTTTCCAGGAGGTAAAGTAATTGACGTTGAAAACAAATGTATAGATTTGGGCTGTGCCCCAATTAAAGAAATTTAATGACTTAATCTTACGGGTTTCAGCCTATTCATTGATTAAACTTGCACAAGAGTAAAACATATCTGAGGTCAGAAATAATGGAGTTGTAGGTGGCATCATCTGATACTCAGCCTTGTTAATCAGAAGGTCTATTGAAAGACCTTTGAATAATCTTACAGATTAATCTATTAAGCATTGCATCACTAATGCAGGTATGTTTTAGAACTACTGGGGGAGGAGTAGAGGGGATTCCTTTCCCCAAGAGTTCTTAACTGATTCTTAAGGCTGCTACACTTTTTTTCTAAAAGACTTAAGAAGCACTCTGCACATGTGCAGAACCTTCCATTCTGAACTGCAGAAAAATTTCTTAGCAAAACAACATTCAATTTATCTTGCACCTGAACCTGGGAAAATTCATAATTTGAACCTGGTAATTACATGGTTGATACCGTCTCTAGTCACAAGTGACTTTTTCTCTGTAGATTATTAGACTGTGGAACGGCAGCAGCACAACATAGCCAAGCCCAAGGGCCCTCCTTATCTCTGAGTGTCACAAACTTGGTCTTGCCTGTGCTACTTGTCCTGCAGGTTGGTCATCCATTCTTTGTGTCATATGACATACATCCACATTACTTTGCTGCTGTTAGAGCACTGTATCGTACTATAATAAAGAATCTCTTGTGTGTCTTTGATGCTGTACAGGTGTTTTAAGAAACATGGTAGATTGTCTGTAGTGAAGAGTGGGATGAGTGAAGAGATTCAGGCTGCAATCCTACCCCAATAATAAGTTCAATAGGACTTACTTTCTGGGCTGACAGGGATTGTCCTTTGAAATACAGTCATACCTCAGGTTACAGGCGCTTCAGGTTGCACGTTTTCAGGTTGCGCACTGCGCCGAACCCGGAAGTGCTGGAACGGGTTACTTCCTGGTTTCGGTGCTCGTGCATGCGGAGAAGTGCTGAATTGCAATCCGCGTGTGCGCAGACACGGTGCTGCAGGTTGCGAACGTGCCTCCCGCATGGATCACGTTTGCAAGCTGAGCATCCACTGTACATAAATCTTAACAGAAATGGAGAACCTTTGGACCCATCATCTCCAGCCATTGGCAATGCTACCTGGAGCTGATGGATACTGTAGTCTGGAGGGTCACATATTTTGCTTCAGAATGTAATATTTTTAAAGACCCCCCCCAGTGGATATTGTGTTTTGATCCATCTTTACATTTTGCACTAGTATTTCTGTATACAGCATAGTGCCACTGAAAGCCTGTATGGCCAGTGTAGTGGAATGCCAGTTTGCGCAGTCAGAATACTCATTTGGAAACTGCCCTGTGGTTGGTTACATGTCTGAGTGATTCTGAGTTGTACCATATGATTGTGTTATGAGCCATTTGAGCAACTTCTCTAATGTGTTGGTTGGCCTGGATATTGATAATATAGTAGTTCTGAATATTGAAAACTAATGACTATAGTATTCAGCTTGGCAACAGACTTGGAGCTATTGTCCACCAATTGCTCTGCTCGCCTGTATCTATTCTTCTGTTACATTCAAGACAGACAGATGCCAACAACAACAACAATGTTGCTACCTACTCCCCTCCTGAGGGGCTGTTCAAGGTGCCTGTCAAGCATGGGGTGGCAGTGGAGCTACAGTGGGGATGTCAGCACTTCTGTAACACACATGGCAATGGCTTAATTCATGGTGTCAGTAATTGTGATATCAGTGTAGATACAGTAATTGTGATATCAGTGTAGATACACCTGTAGCCTAGAGTCAATTGTTTGCCATAGGTAGTGAGAAAAATGCTGAATTATAAGGCAGTGTGGCATAACTAAAGCAGTGATGTGTTGTTGGGATGGCAGTGTGTATTTCTTTGCTTTGAAATGAGCAGTGTTTGCAGTTTAGACATCTGGCTCCAGGATGTCTAAGGAAGCTGAGAAATTCTGCCTCATGTCCAAAACTTGAAAGATGCACTGTGTAACTCAACGACAGGGGGTACTTTTGAAGCAACCTGTCTAATTCTGGCACATAGACTTAAAAATAACAAATACTTGAAACAATGTGGAATTTGTGGCATCTTCTTTGGCACCAAAGACTCCCAAGTTGTCCTTTTGCTCCCTGAACGCAGAGAAAGATCAATTTGCATTTACCTATTTAGTTGGACTCTGACCTCAGCAGTTACAAGGAAACTTTTCTTCTTGCATCCCTCCCCAACCCTGACATGTAGCTCCTTTAGATCTTCATGGCACATCCATAATCTGAAAGAAAACAAACCAAAAAATTAACTCATTTTTCTTGTTTGTTTTAAGTCCTGTTTCCTTTGCTGTTACACAATAACCACTTGGGAGAATTCAAATTATTATGAAACTACATCTTGTACTTCCTTTCCACAATATTTCTGATATCAGGCATGTCAGTGGGAAACTGCCTCTTCTCTGTAGTTAATAGGGTTGGAAGAATGTCTTAAGAGCTTGCAAAGTATTTCAATTTCTAGATAACATTCCATTTTTTCTGCCCCAGGGGAGTTCAATTTCTAATATTATTGAGGCAGTTTTACTAATATATTCTAAAAGGGATTTTGGGAATTGAAGACAGTAAGTGTTAGACCATTAATTCTACTATTTGGGGACTCTGGAATGCTTTTTCCTGTGAATGGGATAGCTTGAGTAGTCATATTATAGAAGAATCCCATTTCAAAGTTAGAATGATTTTTTTTAAATGTGCACTTTCTACAGTTGATAATGTGAGTGCTTAACCTTCATTGGCCAAGTGCATCTTTGCTTTTTCTTCCAAGTACACAACTGTCAGGTGTTAATTTCTGTTGGCCAAGGCATCTGGTACCTTCATTTTGCAACTTCTGGTGAATGCTGAAGATGCACCTTTTTGCCCTGGCTTTTGACACTTAAAGTGTATGTTTTTAGGATCCTCTGTAATTATAAGTTGTTTTAAACTGTTTTTAATGTTGTGCTTTAATGTTTTACCTGCCCTTGGACCTTGGTGTAAACGGTGGGCAATAAATTTAAAAATACTAATAGTAGTAGTCTCTCACCCTAGGGTTGAGCCTCATCATGGTGGTTATAAATTGAGAGGGGTTGGCACCCCTGGCCCCATTACTCCTCCAAGGGATGACTCTTTAGAGGTGGTGATGTGTCACCCATGGCAGGACTTACTCTTATGGGCAGATACCTGAAGAAGCTTCCTTAGACTGCCCCCTGACATGTCTCGTTCAGCACTCAAACCAGCTTCATTTCAAACACCCAGTTCCAGGCTACATTGGCCTTAAAGTGTTTCCCAGGAGGACAAATGTCTGAAAGGGCTCCCTCAACGCACAGTTCTTTCTGTGGCCTCTGCACGTCTCTTCCAGCTGTGTAATGGGTGCTGGTTACCCAAATTGCAAATGTGTAGGATGGCAGAGATAAAATATGTATATTTATAAGAATGTGCCTCATGATAATTCATAAAAAGGCTGTAGAATTTTTCATTCAGAAATTACCGCACAGCGTGTAATACACCTTGAGTTCACCTGACTGGATCTTCTAGATCCCCCTTGCTTCTGATCTTACTGAGTGAGACCTATGCTATACAGCATTTGAAAGATCAGAGCTAGTTCCTTGAATAGTGCTGGGAACCAAATTGGCACATGTAATTTCCGTAAGTTGAATGCTGTACTGCAAATGTCATTATCCCACAGATTACTTCCTTGTCTGCCAATATATGCTTGTGCTGCTTATCATATCAGTGGTGGGGTGGGTAGGGGGAGAGAAACTTAATTTACAAAAGCTTCCTGAGTTGCCTAGAGTTGATTCTTGCATGCCACAGGCAAAGAAAGTGAATGGCTTTTACAGGGTGGAGCTGAATATGTTGATTTGTCCTTACCTTGGGCATGTTGAAGCTTCTGAACAGGATGACAGCCCCGCATAGAATACACTCAGCTTACACTCAGGTTACACATGTATGGGTGGTGGTTGGTAAACTGGCCACATCCCTTCTTATCAGATGAAACTGATAGAATAAGTCGTGACCGTAGCTGCCACTTGAGCATTAATTGGCTGTGCCAATTAATTTCCCAGACTGTAAATCTGATATATCAAACAAAATGAAAGTAGTCTGTAACTGGTTCAGGATCCAAATTGTTGCTTGTTGTTTGCTAAGGACTCTGTAAAGTACAGTAGTCTCATTTACGTACATGTCTTATGCATACATTTTTTTCTAGATCAAAAAATAACCTTCCAAAGCTGGTATTCTGTGCTTGTACCTTATAATACTTTGCTTAGCACACCACCTACTACTCCAAAAACAGCTGAAGATTTGGAAGATTTTGAAGGATAGGTGAGTTGAAAAGTATAGAGTAGATTGCTTTACAGTGGTACCTCGGTTTATGATCTTACTCTGTTCCAGAAGTCCGTTCTTAAACCGAAACCGTTTAGGTGCGCTTTCCCTAATGAGGCCTCCCACTGCCAGTGCCCTTCCACCCTTAGGTTTCTGTTCTTAGACCGAGGTAAAGTTTGTAGACCAAGGTAAGCCTCCGGTTTTGCGGAAGTTTGTAACCTGAATCGTTCGTAAACAGGGCTGTTCTTAAACTGAGGTACCACTGTATTTGTAAATATGGATTCCAAATGCCAAGGCTTCTGCAACAGTAGCAGTGGCAAAAACAAAGCGGCAACACGCTATACAATATTAGTAAAAGCAGGTGTTATTTAGTTTGTTAGAAAGAAGCCTTTTTTAAAGACACACACAGGGGCGCACATTTTGCTGCTGATGTTTGCTGGATGAGAATGCAAATATAAATTGTTACAGGCAACATAAGTTTTTATTGCATCATGTCACTAGTTCTGCTTTTAAGATTAATTCTGCCATTTTACTATGTGTTTTTGTTGTTTTGATATAAATAAATCAAGATGCACAAGCCTAGGTGCATGTGGCAGGAGCGTTCTTTTCTCAGCTTCCACTTTATGCAGAAGTGGTACAGTCCCTTTTGCCCTTGGGGAAAGATAAAAAAGGACTCTATGCCTTAAGTTACACTTCACCTTGTGGCGCATTCCAGTTCTGTGATCTTGCAGTCCTATATTTCTGAGTTCCTTTGGACTAGTGTCTCATGCATTCTGTTCCTGATGCTTGACTGTATCATCCAAAATAGAACTTTTGCATCACTCCCTGTTGTGAGATATACAGGTTTCCCAAGTGAGGACAGCTTACGTGTCACATGGGAACAGAGGCGGGGAGGAAGAGAGATGTAAAAAATTATTTTAGATGATAAGGGAAGTGGGGGGAACAACAAGCATAAAAATAAGGCTATGAAGTGATCCTAACAGTTCTAAGCTTTGTTCCGTACTTGAGTACCCATTTTCCCTTGAATTTCAGATTCTCCTTTTTTATTGGCAGCAATCCCCATTTTGCTCCTACCTAACTAAGGTCAGTCTCTCAGATTAGTTAAAAATGTTGTGTAACTGGAAGAACTTGCAAGATATCAGTGAATTGCACCTGCTTGCAATTCCATCACCAAAAAACAAAAAGCATGTAAGATTTCAGTAAATGTTTCCTAGTCCATGTCCAGTGCAAAGGAATATTTGTGAACATTTCTGCTGGTTGGTCTTTTTAGCTGGTAAAACGAGTTCTGGACCTGGGCACGAGGTAGCAAGGTACCCAGAGGCCGATCTGAACTCTCCTTACAGTTAGAATGGGCTATATCTGTCATTGGGACTACTCTTCAACCAAATAAAGGACCGGTATCTATCAGTTAACTTCTTTCAGTAGAAACAAACTCAGATTTGTCAATGGCCTGGTTAAATGATTAATGATTATTCCACAGCTGGTTCTAGCAGTAATGGTTTGGTTGCAATTTGTGCTAGAGCCTTCATGTCTGATTCCTTAGTTCTTAAGTAAAAAGTAAACAAACATCATTTTTTTTTATAGCCTGCCTCTCAAAGCTATTTTTTACTCTGTAGTGGTTGAAGTACTAAACGCAACCTGATGAAATACACATGTATAATTAAGAAGTTTAACACCCCCATTTGCGCTAGATTAGAATGTGATCATCTAGTTCACTGCACTATGTATGCTTACCTAGGAGTAAGTCATAGTGAACTTAATGCTGCTTACTTCTGAGTAGATTTGCACTGTGAATTAGTGTTTAAACCTGAGAAATTATTTTTACTTGCATTCAGAACCCAAGGAGAGATTGACATGGTATAGTTCCTTAGGGAAAGAATTCCAGAGAACCACTATCTTATGGACAGCCTCTTAATGTACCTCTGCAAGATCTTGGTAGTTCAGACAAGTTTGAGACATTAAAAGTTAGTCCATATTTGTGATTTGTTCATAGTTTTCAACTTCACATTTTGAAGTAGGTCTACAGCTCTCAAGCTACCATCTAGTAATGCTTTTTGAAGAGGTTTTTTTTTTGTCATACCAAGGCCAATATAATCAGTATATTATGTATTTCAATTTAGTTGTCCTTTATTGGATTACTTTAAAATACTGTTTTCTACAGTTTCATTCAGTTTACATTTTGAGCCAATTAAGATATTGAGTTTGAAACTTGTAGTTGGCAGTCTGCTTTTAATTAGTTGTGTGAAGAATTTGATAAGATCATATGAATGTGTATACCATTTTGTGAAGATTGAAAAACATATGGGAGAAGTCGTGATAAGATATTGAGTCATAATAGTACAATAGACCTGTCAGACTTTGGGTCAGATTATGCACGTAATTTTTATACAGCTGATGACTTAACATATATGTCACAAAATGTTCTAATCATACTAAAATCCCATTAAATCTGAATGGTGCTTCCACCATTATGCCCATGATATTACATTTATGTCATGTATTTGTTAGATCCTTAGTTCATACATGTTTTTTTCTGTTCTGAAATGTCATATTCACTGGTCAAGTAAAAGTAGACTAGAAGCTGCTCTAACTTCAAATGCTATAAAAGCCAAAGCAGATTCAATGCAAAAGATGGTAATTCACAAATGGCAGATTTTATTACATAAATAACTATGTCCTAAACAATATAATCTTTGATATATGGTTATCTTTCCACTGTTCAAATGGCCAATTTTGTTCTGTGCCCAGCACATAAATTTGATGTCATCAAATGAGGGTTAGGCTATCATTTGATGTAGAAAATTATGGCTCTGTAACTTCTAGCAAGGTCAAAGTGATCATGTCATAGTCTAGATTAGTTGGCTCAATGCAGCTATGGTTGTTAGTCACCAGTCTTTGCATTATTTGCATTCCTGCATGACAGGTGCCACATCAGTTCACACTTCCTGATGAGAATATCAGGTAGGTATGCTTTGTGACAACCACAGGCTATGGTACATGTGGGAAGTATACCCAGAGCTACCTTATTTGAGAGCAGAACTTCTTGGAAGCATCTGGTTTATGTGTTGGCAGGAGTAGTGTTAACTTCCATTTCCACTAGCTTGATTGCAGAGTCACCACAGATTACAGCTGTACTTTAAGACGAACCCTGAATATGTGCTGTGCAGTTATCAGAAGTTGTGGTAGGATTCTCATGTCAAACATGGATATTTCTTGTTTACTGTTGGGAGGCAGCATGCTTCTGAACACCAGGTGTTGAAAACCACTGAGGGGAGAGTTCTTTTGCACTCAGGTCCTGCTTGTAGGCTTTCCGTAGGCATTGCATCGACCACTGTGAGAACAGGATGCTGGACTAAATGGGCCACTAGGCCTGATCCAGCAGACTCTTCTTATGTTCAAACTTCACATATTGTAAGTCGCTTGTTAGGCAGTTTCTGAATTTATTCAAGCACTCTTCACTGTGCACTGCATAGAGTAGGGACAGGGAGCCTGTGGCCTTCCAGGTGTTTCTGTATTTCAGCTCCCTTTGTAACTGGCTGACTGACCGAACCCAAAGGGTGCTCATCAATGGTTCCTCTTCATCCTGGAGAAGAGTGACTAGTGGGGTGCCACAGGGTTCTGTCTTGGGCCCAGTCTTATTCAACATCTTTATCAACGACTTGGATGATGGACTCAAGGGCATCCTGATCAAATTTGCAGATGACACCAAACTGGGAGGGGTGGCTAACACCCCAGAGGACAGGATCACACTTCAAAACGACCTTGACAGATTAGAGAACTGGGCAAAAACAAACAAGATGAATTTTAACAGGGAGAAATGTAAAGTATTGCACTTGGGCAAAAAAATGAGAGGCACAAATACAAGATGGGTGACACCTGGCTTGAGAGCAGTACAGGTGAAAAGGATCTAGGAGTCTTGGTTGACCACAAACTTGACATGAGCCAACAGTGTGACGCGACAGCTAAAAAGCCAATGCAATTCTGGGCTGCCTCAATAGGAGTATAGCATCTAGATCAAGGGAAGTAATAGTGCCACTGTATTCTGCTCTGGTCAGACCTCACCTGGAGTACTGTGTCCAGTTCTGGGCACCACAGTTCAAGAAGGACACTGACAAACTGGACCGTGTCCAGAGGAGGGCAACCAAAATGGTCAAAGGCCTGGAAATGATGCCTTATGAGGAACAGCTAAGGGAGCTGGGCATGTTTAGCCTGGAGAAGAGGAGGTTAAGGGGTGATATGATAGCCATGTTCAAATATATCAAAGGATGTCACCTAGAGGAGGGAGAAAGGTTGTTTTCTGCTGCTCCAGAGAAGCGGACACGGAGCAATGGATCCAAACTACAAGAAAGAAGATTCCACCTAAACATTAGGAAGAACGTCCTGACAGTAAGAGCTGTTCGACAGTGGAATTTGCTGCCAAGGAGTGTGGTGGAGTCTCCTTCTTTGGAGGTCTTTAAGCAGAGGCTTGACAACCATATGTCAGGAGTGCTCTGATGGTGTTTCCTGCTTGGCAGGGGGTTGGACTCGATGGCCCTTGTGGTCTCTTCCAACTCTATGATTCTATGATCCCTGACCCTCGGCCATGCTGACTGGAACTGATGGGAGCTGAAGTCCAACATCATCTGGTGGTTCATAGGTTTCCACCTTCTTTGCACAGATGAAACATAAAGGACTCCTGCAGCTGCTGTGACATCTTATATGGCATGGGGGTAGGGGCGATCAGTGAGTAAAGAAATTTTATCACATAGCTTTGAGTCTTCTATAATTCAGATGCCATCTTAGCCTAGCTGAACATTCCTGATGTTGTATCACACTCGGTGAGTGGGAACACTTTCTCCCTATTCCTATTTTTTGTGATTAAAAGCTACGTATGGCAGTCTGGCATTTTGTTTCTTTCAGGCTTCAATAGGAAAGTTCCTTGTTTTGGACCTGCATGTGTTAACTGCATGCAAAACAATGCAAGTGGGTCTGTATCCTCGCCAACAATGGCCACATGATAACCATGACCAGCAATCTCAAAGGCACTGAATACCATCATTGTGTCAGCATCACCATCTGCCAGCTTAACATTTGAAGCTGGATGAGTAGCTGCTGTACTTGTTCAGTGGTGTTGTGCGTGCATTTTTCTTCAGCAGTGCCACTTTGTTTTAACTTTGATCACCACTTCGGTGATCAGTCATTACGTGTTGGCAACAATGCGAGTGCTGCCAATCCACATTTCCTCACCTGGTCATTTACTGTAAATACGTACAAAGGTCCACAAATTTTGTGTGGCTCCCAAGGGGAATGATGGGTCTCAGTTGTGAGTTTGGGGGATGCTTGAAGTGCCTGTGCAGTTCAGTGCAGCCGTGAGGCAAGTGCTGCTTTCTGCCCCCGTCCTAAGCTGATAGGTGGAAAACCAGCAAGTTCTCAGATTCATTATGAAGTTAGTGTGAGGTCTTTGCTGTTTTCCAGACTGGATACGAGTGAGATGAAACTCGCCAGAAGTAAAACTTCACCAGTGGCAAGCCCATTTGTAATCCCCTGAATAAATACTACTGATTATGTGAAGGAATAGCATATCACAGCTGCAGTTTAACACTTTTGTGGCACGAAATATATATATATATATATTTTAAAAGTCCAGTAGCACCTTAGAGACCAACTAAGTTTGTTCTTGGTATAAGCTTTCGTGTGCATGCACACTTCTTCAGATACACAAATTGGTTCATTTTGGCAACAAAGTTGATCAAACAATTTTGGCACCTGAACTTGCTTCTTGTAAAATCATACAGCAAGGGGAAAGCATCTTATTTGTCAGGATCTTGCAGATGACCAGATGGGAGTGTAATGGGGACTGGTACTCTCTTATTTATACTGAGTCCTTTTCGAGAGACAGTAGAGAGTGCCTCCAGGGTGAAGTCAAACCACTGTGTTAGTAGCACCAAAGTGACCTCCTTGAGGCACAAGCCATGGCAGTGTGTATGGATGACGAGACCCCCCCTCTTGGCCTCACTGTGGTCCAAAGGAAAGCAGAGCAATCGTTTGGCACCAGATTGGCTGCAGGAGTTCCAGAAGGAGGTGTACAAGGCACCATCCAACTGTCTTAGGGACTCTACTTAGATTTGTGTAGGGTTTGCTCCTTAGCTTTTTCTTCTCCTGAAGATATCCTTCAAGGCAGCGGAGGTTTAGGATCAGAGTTTTTCTTCTCCTGGATGGACTACCTTTCCAGGTTGACGAGCCCCATCTGCCCCTCATTTCCCTCTACAGCACATGCTGTAACTGCATCCTTGACCATTGTACCCACTATATCTTTGCATTCAGGGGAAGTTCCTAACTCACCAAGGGTTTGAGACCAATCTGCAACCTTCACCTTGGTTTAGCCAGTTTATGGGGTGTTAGAGGACACGTTGTGCTCCTTCTGGGATAGTTTTTCCACCTTTGGTTCCCACCCTGCACTCAGCTCTCACCTGTGGCTCCGAAAGGCTGTCAGCATGTGACAGAGGCCACAATCCTGTGTACATACTATTACAAGAATAATGCTATAGAAAATAGAAGCCCTCAAGTGGAAGTAATTGTTATGTTAAAGTTTCCCATGGATTTAGTTGTTGGTACTTTATTTGTATGCCGTGTTTCCATTTTATAATAATTACTTGAATCTTCTTTTAACCATTCTACTGGGCTTGAAGAAAGGATTCTAGGTTTAGATTTAACTGTATTATTTTGTTTAGATGGAATGTAATGTGGAGTTGCTTCCCACAATGTCATCCTTAGAACTAAAAATAAAGCAGTTGGAGACAGATTATTTAAAATTTAGCCCAGCACTAAGAATTACTCACACTCAGTGTACTTACACTTCAGGTGTTAAAATGTTTAGAAATGAAAAATGTTAGAACTAGCAATGCTGAATGGGAGTTAGTTTTCTGTTTCATTGTTACCTAGTATATGGGTTGCAAAGTAGGGTTTATGCAGTCAAATGCCATAGTCTTGTGAATACAATCAGCAACAATTCCTGAGATGAACAGTACTTTTTTCCAGTATGCCATTGTCCATTGCATTAAAAAAATTTCTCTGAGCTAATATTTCATTGGGGGCTAAGTTAAATAGTGTCGCATGGGAGTAAAAGGCATTACTTGCCATAACAGGTTTCAGTGTAACTGAGTTGCTTTATCATGTACTGCAGTAAAGCCATGATCCTGCAAAGGCTTAAATCACATGCTTCACTGTGATCACACTAGCTTCTCTGGCTTCAATTACTGGGTGAGTCATTCCTGAAAAAAGTACTGAATCCCACCAAGGCTGTTGCTGGCAATCTTGAATATATTGCTGTCATGTTAACATGTTTAAGCAGCAATTGGAGAGCCTGTGGCCCTCCAGATATTGTTATGACTCCAGTATGCATCAGCCCCAGCCAGCACAGCTAATGGTCAGGGATGATGGGAGTTGTAGTTTGCAACACACTTGGAGGACCAAGGTCCCCATGCCTATTTTTTAAAGGATGAAAGGGGCCCTCCTAGTGACAGAACTTTAAAAATTGTAACCAGCATTCAAAGACATGCACAAGTAGTTATGCATAATCAAATGTTCTTTGGGTTTCTATTTCTCAGGTAGCAGTCATGTAACATTACAGGCTGCCTTAAAATGGAGAGTTTGAAAAGCAATCTTGGACTGGGTTGGGGACTTAAGCTATCACCTTCACACAATTAAGAAGCAGGATCACACCTGCCACCGTACCACATATTGAGGTAATGTTTGTACAGTGGTACCTCGGGTTAAGTTTTTAATTCATTCTAGAGGTCCGTTCTTAACCTGAAACTGTTCTTAACCTGAAGCACCACTTTAGCTAATGTGGCCTCCTGCTGCCGCCGGGCCGCCAGGGCACGATTTCTGTTCTCATCCTGAAGCAAAGTTCTTAACCTGAAGCACTATTTCTGGGTTAGCGGAGTCTGTAACCTGAAGCGTATGTAACCTGAAGAGTATGTAACCCGAGGTACATAGAGCCTGCTCTGCACATGTAGGCTCACCCTGTGATGTGGCTCCTCTCTGACATTGTCACTTCCACACGGGGAGGGTATAATGCATGAAGGTGACTGAGGGGTCTCCTGTTCCAAGAGGACAAGTAGCAATTCCACTGTGGAAGTCCTTGGGTACAACTATAACAATTCTTTAAAATCCAGGATCTTATCAAGAAATTTCTGTGTGCTCTTTCATAGTTATCCATAAATATTTGAATGGCCTTTTTAGACAAAATATTTGGTAGTTAGGACACTGCATGTCTCACAATAAGGTAGGGGAGTGTTTGCTGATGTCACACTGAGTTGCGTGAGAAAAGTCAGCATGAGCTCAGGAATTATCCCCTTCCCCATCAGGATGACACTTAAAGGGCAGTTGCAGCAATGAGCCATGAATCTGTGAGCCCCTGCTCATTTGAGAACTTACCCGTTGGAGTTGGTCAGTCATGAATTCAGGGTTTGGATAGCATTGTCCTTCAAAACGTTGAAATGTGAATGAGGGTGTCTGATTCAAGTACTGTATTGGCTTGAACATGAACTCTCTGTGACTTTATGCAGATTTATGGCTTTATGTGGCTTTATGACTATCCGCTAGCTTTACCCTCTTCTAACAAAACCAGGCAGGGGCAATGGAGGGATGGAAACTGTAGTTGAGAAGTTCTGCTCTTAAGTCCAAAATACTGTTTGTAACCGTGGCTGAAGCTTTTGGTGCTCAACATTTCAAGCTCTCTGGGCCAGGATTGTTGACATTTTTCAGTTGCTCTAACATACTGTTGCTCTTTCCAAACTTAACATCTGGATGCAAGTAGGGAAAAGTACATTGTTTTCATGCTTGATGAAACCAGTTTTGAAACCCATTTAGGAGGGCACTACCAACTTTCAGTGTTCTTATGTTCTGCTGTGAGCTAAGGCAAATCTTTTTGTGTGTTTAATTTTGGAAATCTTTGCAGACCAACACTTTTCCAACACTTGTCCCTTGCCACAGTGATCTACTAGGTGATGGTCCCAGGATAAGTTTTAGTTTTGATATTTTACCCATGAGATTGCCATTAAGTTTGTAAAACTCACTACCACCTTACAGATGGGTATGTCATTTCATTTCTGTGCAACTGCCTTTGGGTACCTATAGCCTGCCACATTATAAACAATCTACAACCATTGTAGGACAACCATGTCTGACATGGTTGATGAAAATGGGTCAGTAGATAAAAATATACTAGTGTGTAAAATTCCAGCAGCACAAGAGAAACAGCTGCATAAGCCCTGTGTCTGGCTAATCTATGTTAAGCATTAAAGTTAGCTGTTGAACATTTTTAGTTTTCAGTGTCTCAGCACTTGTTTACCTTCTCATTTGTCTCTGCTGACATTGTGAAAAAGTTACTACTTAAACGGGGAATAAAAGAGAGAGCCCCATTAGTGATAGGATAGCTTTGAGAGCCAGTGCAATCAGTCATATTGACTCTATTTTAGCTATATCAGTGCTACCACTCCCCCCCCCCCGACTGAATGTGCTAATTATTCATCTGAGGATTGAATATCAGTTCTGTTCTTTTCTTTTTACTTTGGGTTTGCAGGTCAACCACAAGTTTATATACAATAATCTTAAGATATTGGATAAATCACTATTTCAGAGGTTAAAAATAAATTTTAAATATTTTATTGATTGGTTTACAGGTCACCTTGTAATGGAGTTTTCAGAGTGCTTTGCAACAAGAAGATAGACAATAGACATAGTGTTCTTGCATTGGCAACCAATTTACTTTTTGTAATTTGATTTACGTCAACAATAGGGCCAATAAGATGTAATGATACAATATGTGTGTTGAACTAGTTTGTAATAAGAATGCCAAAATACAAACAGTGCTTTGGAAAGTCAATTTATTATTTAAATGTAATGGAATTTTAAAATTGCCTATCTACACCAGATAATCTTAAAAAGGCATATCAAAGTTTTTAAAACAAACAAATCAGGTGGAGACCAGTGTTGTGATAAACATGGACCAAGGATTTGGTCACATGAACCAGTGACTTGGCTTTTTATGGGTTAGTAGAAAATATTTACCCAAGTCAAATGTTTAATTGAACTTTGTTATCCTTAGTGCATCAAGCACTGTGGAATCCCAAGGCTTCTGTCTGGTATGACTGTTTTTATTCATGGAGTTGTTAGAAAAGACAGTGTAATACTGCAGGTAGGTTGGCATTTCACATAAGTGCTACAGTACTTTTAAATACTGGCTTGGATCCCAAGATAAGTTAACCTAGATCAGGGGTGCCCAAACTTTTTTCAAAGAGGGCCAGATTTGATGAAGTGAACATGCGTCAGGGCCAACCAGAGTTGCTGAGCTTTTTAAAGGCTTTTACCCCATAGTTAGTGACCAGATGACAGATCACGTGGAGACCCCATATGTTGAGTGGTGAAAGAAAGGCATGATATAAATGTACTAAATGATGAATGATAAAGCCACTTCAAATACAATGGGTTAATACTTTTTAAAAACCCCACAACTTCTCTTAGTTTTCAAGATGATCAGTCAGTGCTGACTTGCATTCCATATAATCACACCCCAAACATTGTTCTGTGCAAACAATTTACTACTTGTTAAAGAAAAAATGCTAGAACATGGATGAAGGACAGACCTGTTTTCCAGTTGTTGTTTTTTGGGGAATTTAGTACATGGTCGAAGATTTGATGTTCATATAATATGATTTTAATCCTCTTTTAGTGGGTTCATGACCTGTATGCTAAATTGTTCCAGAAGTATGTACTTTTCCTGGATAAGAGCCTTGATTTTATGTGAACAGGCCCTGGGGCAGAAGTAAGATAATGTGAAAGGGAATATTGACACAAGAAAAGAGACAGGAAGTGGTTGAAGGTTGGTTTACTAAACCAGGGATTAAGAGGATAAACAAGGGCCTTGTTCCAGGCAGTATTCCATTCCCCTGTGGTGCAGCTGAGGAATTTTCATCTTGATATGATTGGATGCAAAATTGAAGTTTCATTCTGTATAATTTTTTAACAAAAGGAATGGTAGGGAATGTTCCTTCCCTCCATTTTTTAAATTGCAAGGTGATTTTGGATCAGGGAGGGCATATGTCAGGCACCAGCATAGCAGGAGTTTACCCAAAGATAGTTACAATAGACTGCCACCATTAAGACTAAACGTCCTGACAAAAACTATGCTTTTTCAAATCTCATAGGATGACTAACCTTAGCAGAACCCTGAGGACTATCATTAGAATATAAAGGGTAACTTAATCATTTAGTTCAACACCTGTGGAAGATATTTGATGGGGACTGAAGCATTTTGATAGACTAGCACGTTCCTAAAAATGGTCGTGTTTCCTACACACACACACACACACACACACTCTGTCCTTACAGTGTTTAGTCTTAAGGACCTGAGTGAACAGTTTCCTGTCTCTAATAAGACATCACTTGATGTGGGTTGCTTGTCATTATCTCTTCGTAGATCATGATTTGGCATTTTCCACCTGCAGCAAAGGTAGTAGCAATCTGCTAAATAGGTATTTCCCCCTATTCCCCCCACACCCTGTCATTCACAATTCCAGCTACAGAGAACTTAAACAGTCTTTTGAAACTGAAATATTTTCAACTGCTTCATCAGATGAAAAACGTTTGCAAACATCCCAGTTTAGTGCATGTGGAGTTACCTAGCATGCATATCTGAGAAATTCATAATGGCAGCTGGCTTGGAATAGAAGTATTTCTCCAGCTCTAGAAAAATTGCATTTTAATTAAAACACTAAACCGCTTATTATTCTGAGAGAATGAGGACAGGGACAGTCCTTCACCTTATTTTTATATATTTTCTTTCTGCTGCTATACTTATTTGTACTATAAACTAGTTTCTATAGGTGGCCTAAATTGCCTTAATGACAGAGGGTGGAAGCCAACATTGTGCAAGCAGACCGGCTCATGCATTGAGACCCCTCCCTCATCTCCCCTGCAGCCATCTGTATGCACCTAAAATGTGCTTTGTAGGGTCCATCAACCCTACAGAAATGTTCTTGTGGAATTGTGGGTGACAGAAAGAGAGGAAGGTGATCCCCTGTTGTATGAGTAGAAGTCTGTTCCACTTGTGCATGGACAGTTTTGGATACAACCGAAATAATTACTGTGCATTGTAGGCAGATAAGTACTGTAGTACATGGGAATAGTGGATCTATACTTTTATTTTATTTTATTCTACTATTCTATTTGTAACAAACGGATTAATATAGTTCAGTTGATGGCTGAAGCATATTGATTATCTCAGTGTTCATAGAATTATAGAGTTGGAAGGGACTCCGAGGGTCATGTAGTCCAACACCCTGCAATGCAGGAATCTCAACTAAAGCATCCATGACAGATGGACATCCAAACTCTGCTTAAAAACCTCAAAGGAAGGAGAGCCCACCACCTCCTGAGGGAGTCTGTTCCATTGTCTAACAGCTCTTACTGTCAAAAGTTATTCCTGATGTTTAGTCGGAATCTCCTTTATTGTAAATTGAATCCATTGGTTCAGGTTCCGCCTTCTGGAGCAGGAGAAAACAAACTTACTTCAGTTTCCATGTGACAGCCCTTAAGATTCTTGAAAATGTCTATCATATCTCCTTTCAACTCTTTTCCCGGCTAAACATTCTCAACTCCCTCAACTCTTAGTTTCCATACCCTTTATCATTATGTAAATTATTTTGGTTTTTTACTCAGTTTCGTTGTGGTGGTGTGTGTGTGCGCATTTATTTTAGTGATAAGATGTCAAAAGCGCCATCACTAACACCTTGAGCCATCAGATGTAGAAATAATGAAATCATGCAGCTCTAAGTAGAGAATTAGCCATTCTAACATCTTCTCTAAGATTCTGAGCATAAATATATCCTTTAGGTTTTTCATGTATCAGACTGATAGGACTAGTGGTGATATTATTGTGAATTGCAACCCAAAACTTGTGGATTGTATCTAACATAAGTCATTCTTGGAGTAGGCCCTTTGAAATTAATGAACATGACTAATATGGTTCCAATAATTTCAAGGGCTGTTATCTTGAGATGACTAATATTGGCTACAACCCTATGATTATTTGTAGGCTATGGCCCAGATCCAAAGATAACATTGTTCCATGAGCCCACATCAAGAGTGACTGCTGCTCCAAGTAAAAGGGAAAAAAGGAGCTGGGTGCAGGCCCCCTCCATTTGTCTATGTAGCTTTTAGAATCCTGGCCAGAGTTTCAGGAGTATATAAAAACTTCAAAAAAACCCCGGATATTTCATTGTATAGATTAATTTGTTCTCCTTTCAGTCCACTTCGTATTCACAAAAAGCAGGCACACTTCTTGTATTATTGGTGAAAGGACAACATGTACATCTCCGCTGTGACAGACTGTGCAAATTCCAAATGTGTGTGTTTATGTGCATTGCTTCCCACAGGTGAGATGTGCAATTTTCCCATGCTACAACATGGAGCAAGAATAGAGGCATAAGTAAGCCTTGCTTCCTTGCACACTGTGCTGTAATGTCGAAAGCAGAGGTCACCAACCTAAGGCCCATGGGCCGGAAGCGGCTCGCAGAGGTCGTTTGACCAGCCCACGAGCCGCCCCCTAACTGAGCATAGTTTGTGGCAATTCTCAGGCCTTTTTTTTTTTTAACCTGTAGTTTCTACTGCCTGACTGGTTTCCAGTTAAATATTTGCATTATTTGCAGATTAAAGCCACTGCTGGCTGTAATTTGCAGATAATGGCGTTAGAACAGCTGAAATCTATGAATGGCCTGACTGATGGAAATATTCAGGCTTGAAATTGTGAGCCCATAGAATTGTGCCAAGTTTCACTGTCCATCCCCACATTGTTCCAATGAAGGTTTTTATTTACGTTTGTTGTAAACTGAGCAGTAGCGATTTGCTTCCTGACCCAGACTGTGGGCTATTTTCATTTGTGTCAGGTGGGGACAGGCATTCTTTGTCATGACATTGTGACCTCTGCTCTGTCAGCTTCAACTGTCCTTTTGTTTGCGGCAGGAGTAACCAACCCATCAGCATTTTTTAAGCACAGGCTTTTCTGTTGTATCCTATCGAGAACGCTGGAAGTCCAGTCATGAAGTAATTTAAGGAAACATTTATTAATTAGCACATGCATATTTGATGGCTAGGCTGCTAAAGCATTAATTGTTACCCGTTTTGTACTCGAATAAGTAAACTGTAAATATTGCTTGAAAAGGTTTACTGAGTTACAGAATGCTACTCATATTTTAAATACCTTCAGGTCTGTACTTCAAGCACTTTACCTACAGGTGGCTTGTGTTACTTGTATCAGAGGTTGTTGACCAAACTACTAATGAGAGTTGGATCCTTTTTGAAACCATAGAGTATTCATCATAGAACTACTGGAAAAATACAATGTAAAAATAAACTGATCCTAATCTCTGTGGAGTTCAGTTGTGCACTGAGATCCCATATGAGTACTGTTAACTTCAGTGTGGGGGCCAAAAGATAAGAGAATGTTTCCTCTGCATGGTTAGATCTCTTTTTATCATTTGTAATTACATGCACACGACAGTTTAGTTTTACCAGGACAAGCTTCAACAAGGCTACATTCTGCCTCTCCTGTGGCCCAATGGCAATGAAAAGTTTCAAAGTGGCTCCATTTTTTATTAGCCGCAGACCAAAAACTCACTAATTTTTACTATTGTTAGCAAAAATGAGCCATTTTCATAAACTATGATATGAACTTGGCTTGCTTCCACTAATTACAGTTTGTCTTGGGTTTATACATCACAGCAACCTGCACTTTGTCTAAAATGGAAGCAGATACTTCTGACCTCCTCACAGCAGTGTCAGAGGCAGACATGAGTGGCTCACGAACAGGATTTTGACTCTGAATACAAGTTGCAAAGTTTCTTTCTAAAAAAAGTGAGATGATAATAGGAAGTAGTAGAAAGCACTGTACAGTCTTGTTCAATTGTGGTGCCTGCTTGCTTAGGCTAAGCAGTCCTAAGCTTTGTTTTATTGCTCCTAACTACAGACTCTCTCTTTTAAACTTTTTTACAGGTGAAGGAATTGTAGAAGAAGAGGCGTGCTTAGGTTGCAACCATGCCATTTCCTTTTGGCAAATCACACAAGTCTCCTGCAGACATAGTGAAGAATCTGAAGGAGAGTATGGCAGTGCTAGAAAAGCAAGATATTTCTGACAAGAAAGTAGAAAAGGTATGTTTTTGCATTTGCTTTTTTGGGGATCTGTTTTAATACAAATATGTGCTCTTCATGCAGGAGAATAATGTACTGGCTATGTATTAGTTTTGTAGAGAGCTTGTGTCTTCTCCCTTTTCTAAAGTAACGCTTCCATGAACCCATTACCGTTCCTCTTTGTTGATGCTGGCACCCAAATGCTTCAAATCTTTGTAAGCAGCCTATGTGGACATGGACAACTCCCCAGTGCTGATGCTGTTTCCAACCTACACTAATTTATTTTCTGTCACTACTACCATCATGCCATCTCAAACCTACTCTTTCCTGAGCCTAGCCTGTATTCTCACCTGATTCTTTCCTATCTCAGACCCACTACTCAGTAATCAGTCGCTTGAGATTGCCCACCAGTATGAGATGTAAGTGTCTATTAACAACTTTGATGGGTGTAGTCGTAGTCATCTTCTCAAGCCACCAGACTATAGGACATCTCAGCATAAATGTTCTTGAAATTGCTTAGTGCAAGTGCTAGTCTGAAGTTTCTCCCTTATGTTGAATGCAGTACTTGAAAAACTTAGAAGTCCTTAGTCTGTGCAACAGTTAAAGGAATGGCTGAAACATGGATCTTCACAACCCGGTTTGTAAATATGTATATTCAGTTGCTGAAAAATACCCATAGTCTCACTGATGCAGAGGAGAAACTAGTTATAGCATAGTTAAGGGATATAAGGTTTCTCTCCAAAACATTTTCAGTTAACTTCAAATATAAGTAGTGTCTTATCCACCCCCACTGCAAAAATAATAAATAATAATAAATTCATTGTGTCTCCCTTGGAGAGATGGACAGATAGTTTTGAAACAGGTGCTTAAGCCAGAAATACTCCCATGCCGGATGACTGAATCAGAGGAAACATTACTTTGAAATTAGCTGTATGGCACAACTTTTTGAAGACCAACTTGGGGACACCAACTAGGAACATGGAAGGATCAAAACTCTCTTTGGTAATAAGCATAAAGAGCCACATTTAACATTTCCCAAAGTCAAAGGAGTCAAGATCTGGACAGCTTGGAGCCCAGTTACACCAGGGGAGAGGAAGTAGTATATATTCAGGCAACTGTAGAGAACTGGGGTGCCGATGGTGGATGCATGCAGGAACTTAAGTAACTGTTCTGGAAGGAGTGGCACAGAAAATGTAGCAGCTATAGAAGTATATCAAATGAAGCACTGCTTTTTTGTTGGGGAGGGGATAAGGGGGGGTTGGCAGAAATAAGAATGATGATGGTGATGTTTTAATATACAGTGGTACCTCAGGTTAACTACTTAATTTGTACCGGAGGTCTGTACTTAACCTGAAACTGTTCTTAACCTGAAGCACCACTTCAGCTAATGGGGCCTCCTGCTTCTGCCGCGCCGCTGGAGCACGATTTCTGTTCTCAACCTGAAGCAAGGTACTTAACCCGAGGTAATATTTCTGGGTTAGCGGAGTCTGTAACCTGAAGCGTATGTAACCTGAAGCGTATGTAACCTGAGGTACCACTGTACTTAAAAGGGAGCATAATTTCATGAAGATAGAAATTAATTTTGGGGGAAAGGCACATTTGTAAAAGCTGGAAAAAACAAAATGGCATTAAATGGAAAAGGAGTTCTCAGTTATACTAAAGGTTGTTATAATTGTTCTGAAATGCAAGCTAAGCTGCCTCCAGAGTCACTTTTGAAAACCCAAGTTTATTGCTTAATTTGCATCTATTTTTCTATGGCGGGCATGTTTCAAACAAGTTTTGACCAAGTTCCACAGGTGTTGAAATGATCACCCACTGATCACCTGACAGGACCCTTGAGAATCTATGATTTGAAAAATATGGTGAAGTTGGGGTCTTTTTTTGGCCCTTTGTTTCGCCCCTTTACTTATTTTGCCATTTCATCTTCAAAACAATTTCTGGTGTGCTTTTGTGTGAGAGAGTACACATGGATGTGACACATGCACACCCATTTGTACAATGGACTTATGCTTCCACCAGTGGAACTCCCCTCCCAGCACCCCCTTCAAAAAATCAGCTCCTAAGGGTTTAGGACTCCCAGCATACGTTTCTTATATTCCTGTAAATTAGCCTTCTTCAACCAGATGTTAGACTCCCAACTCCATTAGTCCCAGCTGGCATATTAGTGGTAAGGGTGTTGGGAATTGTAGTCCAAAACATCTGGAGGGCACCATGTTGGGGAAGGCTGATAGTAAATCAAAGCAAACTTTAAATAATTTGTGGTCAATCATTGAGGATGGGTTGGAAAAGCTATTTTTAAAATGCAGAATTAAAAAGGCACATCAGAGACCAGCCTTTTAGCAATCACAGCCCAATCTGCAGTCCTGTCACATAATTATGGGCTGAGCTGTTAGTTTTATTTTAATTTGTTTGCTTTAGAAGGCTTTTAAATGTGGCCCAGTTGGTTAAATAGCTGTTTTCTGGGATGTTGTAGGAAAATATTTACACAGCAATGTTCACGCGCAGGTCAGTTTTCTCTCAGTCAACCAGTACAGTTTATAAGCCTAAAATCCCACTTTTCTACACCTTGTTGTGGTGTTCTATACTTCCAAATCTACAGGGAAACGTGGCTCTGGTTTGCACAACAGAATGTGTGGAACTTTTTTGCCCACATAGCACTGCAGGTTGTGCCTGCAAAAAGAAATTGTAACACCCTACAAAATAATGTGCCTCTTATAAGTAGTATTGGGGGTTGGGGATGCACAGACTGCAAGAAATTAAAAGACTGGTGTTAATATAGCCATGCAAGTATAAACATGAATGGCATTTCCCTTTATAATGTGCCTATTCCCTAGTGCTCTTAACTTCTTGGAGTTTACCCTGTGAAGCCGTTGGATGAAAGTTACTACCCTAGCGGCGGCTAATTGTTTTATCTCTTGGGTGGTTGGAGCAAATTAAATTATCTTGAAGCTGATGTCACTTGCTTCTGGAACCAGAACTAAAATCACTGTGGGAATTAGGCATTCAGATTCCGGCAAGGGTTTAGTCCATTGGTTGTTTATGCTCTTCACAATAGGATAACTATTGTTCCACCTGGAATTTTAATTAGTAATGGTGGGAAGAGTGTTGTGCCATTCCTTTCTGGCTGCAAGAAGCTTGATCTTCCTAGCTACTGCCTTGGGAATCCAAAAAACAATATGGACTTATTTGTCCGGGTGGCAGAAGCTCCTGTGGAAAAGAATTGAGCTAACTACACAGTTCCTTCTATTTCTAACGAAGCTATAACTCTTCTCATTACAATTTTTCCTCTCTTCTCAATTGGCAAAATATGATATAATTTTCAGTGTGTCTAAAGTACTACTCTTAGAAATAAGCTATGCTACTGAGAAGATAGATACCATGTTTAAAGTTTTGAAGCAGATGTAAGTCATCCATTTTATGGAGGATCATGTTAAGGAAACAATCCTGTTAAACCAATCTTCATGGTTGTGTCGTGTTTTATAAATGGTACTGTCTACCGCACTACCTGATATGCTGCCTCTTAAGCTTCCTTTCATTTTTTTAAATAAAGAAGGGCATTCTGTTTCACATTTTATATACGCCTTAATATGTGAAATGTGATACACAAATGCACTTAAAGATTTCATGTACAATCTTCTGAGGCCCTTCTTCGTGTGCTTCCTCCATGAGACGTCTGGAGGCTGGCAACACAAGAACTGTCCTTTTTTCAGTGGCTCCCCACTTGTGGAATGCTCTCCCCAGGGGGGTTCACCTGGCGCCTTCATTATACACCCATAGGTGCCAGGCAAAAACTTTTTTCTTTAACCAGACCTTTGGTTTATTGTCATCCAGTGCCCTTTTAAAATGGGGGGGTTGGGGGGGTGTTATTCGGTGGTTTCTGTTTTTATTTTGATTATATATATTGTGTTTTTATATTGTGATTTTATCTTGTGAACCACCCCAAGACCTGCAGGTGTAGGGCAGTATATTATTATTATTATTATTATTAAGCATTTTCCATAAGAATTATTTATTAACTTGGGTGTCACAAGAAAACTGTCACTGGAAAGTAACATGTGGTAGAGATAGCGGCTTCAAATTTTTAAAAGTTCTCTCTTTCCTATATGGTTGATACACACAGCTTCCAGTTTTTTACTCAAGGGGTACAATAATTACTCAAAATAAGAAATGAGCAGCTGTTTCTGGTGCTATCCCATTCTTCCTCTCACCAGAGTCCACAGTAGCATATTGTTGCCTCCCCACTGACCTCAGTGAATGTGTATTGCAGAAGTTAGTAGCACTGAAACTCACACGAATTGCTCAGTTTAGGATTCTCCATATATGTGCATATCTTCTGTACAGTGTGCAACCCTGCACATTGACGTGCACATATGCAACGGAACTACTTCAGATTTGCAGTTATCTCAAAACTACTATTTACCTGGCAAGAGGTTGAACAACCCTTCTGTAAGCTAAGCATTTTTGATTGAATAGAGACCAAATGCTCTCCACCCTGCAGTGCTCACAAAGTTCCCGTTTATAACCCCTGTGCATTAAACAGCCCTGGTCCCAATTGGGGCTGGAAAGCAAGATTGTGCAGCCTGTAGAACTGATTGCTATTTGTAACAGGGCAGGCAAGAGGGATTTGACGGTTTCTTAAATACCTGTTTTTCCTGCTTAATATAGCGCTGCTTATGGTCTTTAACAGCTGTTTTTCATGTTATGCCAAAGAACCTGTTGAAACAATAGGAAATGCCAGATCATTAATCCTACATCCTCTTAACCAATTTGATGCTGACAGCATATGTAAGTGTGCACTAAATCTTTTCAAATGTGAGTTGCAATTTCCTACTCATTGGCAGCCTCCCTGCTGTATCAGAAATCCTTTTGACCAGATCAACTCCTGTTTTAAGTTTCTGGAAAGGCTGATGATCTCATGGCTTAAAAATACTGTGGGTATTTGAATTTTGGGACAGTTCAGTATTGAATTCTCCCTATTTTTGAGCTCAGAATGACATTTTTTCCACAACTTCCCCCTTCCAAAGCAAACAAACCTTGTTTTTTGTTTTTGTGTGTGTTGTTGTTTTTTAGAAGAGAGAGTGATTAATCAGCATGAAGGCAATGATTCTCCTAAATATCCTCAGGAATATCACTTCCTCCTAGGGAGCATGGAATGAATAGTTTTTCTACCTAGAGCTATTATTATAGAAAAAGAGGTGCCAGAACTCACCATGAACACCTCCCTTTTTCTCTTATGATGGCAATGCCATCCACCTGAGAGGTGCCAGAACTGAGTTCTGGCAAGCTCCAGCTGAAAAAAAGTCCTTCTTCCTGATTGAGTTCTAGGAACAGAGAACACCTCAAATTTCATGTTTCTCGATGAAATGATGCCATTACAAATAGTGAGAGGTTGGAAAGCCCTTTCTCTCACTTGCAAGCTGTCCCTACTGGCCCGTCTCTCCTCTCCTCAAACAGATGGCCTTGGGAGGCGGCATGCTTCACCTATTTGTTTAGGGTGGCATTTTCTTGTGATATTGATTGCAGGTAAATTTGGCAATGGTGATTTCTTGGGTGAGGTTGGAAAAACAATCAACATCCTTAGGTTTTAGATGTCTTCCCTGCATGGTGTGGATTTTACTTGCAATAATGTAGGAGTGAGGAAATAATATTAGGGTTTTTTTGTTCTTCAGCATGTCACTTTGTGTTAGGCTATCTCTGGACAATTTTGTGTATGTTGATCTATTTCCAGCTTCTTGGTTTACCTCAGCTTTATTTTTAAACTGCCACTGTGCTGGTTTGTGGCATATATAATTGCTCTTGGTGCAGTAAATATTTACTTAGTCATAGAACAGACCTTGTTAGCACTCTGACTCCCCCCCCCCTTTCTCTCTCTAACCTTTATTCAGTGTGTAACATCCTTGACTTTCAGCTAAAGTATGGCATTCATGGTCCTTTTGTGGAATATGTTCAGATGACAGCTAGCTTCCCCCACCCCAACTAAATCGTCCCAATTTCCCCCCATTGTAGAGTGTCATGGGATTACCAGTTATTCTGTAGCTTAGTCACTCTCCCCTGGTTGTGGGAATGTGGCACACTGAACTCTCATCCCCACCCCAGGATTTTGTGATCTGGCTGAACTACACCAGTGAAATTGTGTATTTTAAAAATGTATTGCACTTTAGCCATCTGAAGCTCTCTGTGTTTTCAGCACATAACAAACACCACTTAACTAATTAGGAATAATTTTATTCATTCAGTGTATAACCAGGAGGTAGGTATGCGTAGGTGGGCAGAAGTTGGGGCTGTAATTGTATCAGTGAAATATGTGTTGATGTTCATTGTTCATTTTGATATCTGTTGCATGTTTTGGTCTCAAGCACATACTAATGAGTAGCTTGGTTTTGGCTTTTGAAACAATTACAGCTTTTATGTTTTTTCCTTGCTCAGGCTACTGAAGAAGTTTCCAAAAATTTAGTTGCCATGAAAGAAATCTTGTATGGCACAAATGAAAAGGAGCCTCAGACAGAAGCTGTTGCTCAGCTTGCTCAGGAGCTATACAACAGTGGTCTTCTTAGCACCCTAGTAGCTGACCTACAACTCATTGATTTTGAGGTAAGAAAATGTTACACAGACTCATTGCAGCTTCAGTTTCAGATTCATGTTGCTTTACAAAACCATGTTCCCCAAAGAGATCTTCCTAATCTGTAGTTTGGAAAGTGATGGAGAATATATGCTCACACATAAAATTTCTGGATTTATTAATTATTAAGGAACATTTAATACTTTGACAGTTGTTTGACTGTAACATCAAAAGAACTATATTGTCATAGCACATTTTATACCCAACCTATTACTGCAGATTAACTCCTAGTCCTGGAAAGGTAAAGCACACAGGATCCCTCATGTTCAAAGAGAAGTAAAACCGCTCAAGGCATCCTGGGTCATGATCCTGGGGCCACAGTTTTGTGGATCCACTCCTACTAATTTTTGCTGCTGCCCTAGATCAGGAATGGGAAAATATGCTATGTGATTGGTAGGATTTAGAAGAACATCAGAAGAGCCTTACTTATCTAGTTCAGGATACTGTTTTCACAGTGTCCAGCCAGATGTCTATGCAAAGCCTGAAATTCATGATTCTAAATGAGACAAACTTTGTAGAGGGAGGGGGACACTCAGCTCATCGCATGCCTGCAGACTTTTGTAGAGACGTAATACTGAGCCTGGAGATCTGGGGAGAGTGAAATTTCAGCAGTAATTTCTGTGAAAGGAGAAGCTGTGTGTGCATTGTAATGTTTCACTTGAGCAAAATGGCTCCTTTTTTAATGGCATTACAACAGAAGCCCTGCAGGTGGTGTATCTGATTGTGTGCATTTGGAACCTTTGTGGCTGCACAGGATTGCTAGATTTTGGTGAACTTGCTCAAGGCACGTTAGCTATGCTTATTGGTACTGAGGTGACAACTCTGTTGTCATTTTGATTATCTGAATAGTGCATGAATGTAAATTGGATAAAGGCTTCTGCTATTCCAAGAAGTAATATACAGAGAATTCCTTTTAATTCTCTGTGAAACAGAGCTGTTTGTTCTTTCAATGGATCCTGGTATGATGAATTTACTTTGGAATGTCAACTCTCTCTGGTCTCTTCTGCTTATTGTCATACCTGACACTGTTATGAATGATATTTTCCCCTTGGAGGTGCATTCCAGAATAGATTAATCAGGAAGTCCACAAAGCCACTGTGATGTCTTATAAAACTAGATCCTTGTGATCTGTTAAGGGAAATTTTAAAGTCGAAATAACATTGTATAAAGTTCTAGAAAACACTCATATGCTAAAAAACCTTATTTCTCTTTAAACAAATGGCTTTCTTAAACCACATTCATTCTGTTAACCAGTTATTTCTGTACTGTCTCCTTTGAGGTTGCCTTTTCCATATATGCTTACTGAGAAACCCAGGTCTAGCATAGCAAGAGTTTTTGTTTGTTTGTTGTTTCATTTTAATTTTTGTAAGTCCCCCGTGAGTCCAGGTTCTGAGGAAAAGGTGGGATATAAATTGTTTTTGTTTATTAAATTTATATTCCAAAGGGCAGTTTACAATACAAAAAGACAAAATTCAAAACCTAAAAGCACAACAACAACAACATTTTAAGGCCATAGATTGTTTAATCAGCCCAAGGCATGGTCAGAGAGGAATGATTTTGCCTGGCATGCCTGCCTGGGGAAAGAGTGTGTTCACAAACGGGGAGCTACTGCAGAAAAGGCCCATTCTTGTGTTCCTACTCCCCAGACATCTCATGGAGAAGGCACACAAATAAGGGCCTCAGATGATGATCATAGTGTCAGGGTCTGTTCATATGGGGAGATGTTGTCTTGAAGTATTGAAGTCCTGAGCCGTTTGAGGCTTTATAGGTCAAAACCATCACTTAGAATTGGACCTTGAAACCAATTGGAGGCCAGTGCTGTCAGGCCAGAATTGGAGTTACATGCTCAGACCATCTTGCTGCTGAATTCTGCACCCTCTGAAGTTTCTGAACTATCTTCACAGGCAGCGCCACGTATAACACATTGCAGTCATTTAACCTAGAGGTTAGCAGAGCCTAGACAACAGAAGTTATGCTATCCCTGTCCAGATAGGTGTGCAGCTGGGCCATCAGCCAAACTGTTGGAAAGCACTTTGCACCACCAAGGTGGTCTAAACCTCCTGTGATACTAATGGATCCAGAAGTTCCCCTAAGCTGCATACTTGGTCCTTCAGAGGCAGTGTAACTGCATCAAGAGCAGACCACCTCCCATCCATACACTAACAGTGCCTCAATCTTAACTACAATAAGCTTCAGCTTGTTGGCTCTCATCCAGTCCACTAATAATAAACATAATTACTTTCCAGAGGTATTATTTGCTTATGGAAGGGATATTAGGTGTTCTAGGTTTGAGGTGTGCATTTACTCTTCTTCAATAGATGTCCAGTGGTTTGTGGGCAGACAGATCTTCAGGGTGTTGTGTATGGACCACAAAATACCTTTCATATCTATTAAAACGAATGCCCCCAGGGAGTTACTTCAACTACTTGAGTGATTTTTTTTCTTGGTTTCTTCTGAAAACTGTTGAATGCCTTCTTCTGCTTGGGTCAGTACTAGGAGCTTTTAGTCTTCACCTCTGCCCATGAAGGACGTGTGTTTATCATCATAGTGACAAAGTTACATCATTGGAAGTGGTAAATAGTTCAAACAATGATGTAATTGTGTATTATTGTGAACCATCACCAAGTTCATTATGCGGCTAACAAGGAAATACTGTTACTAATGGCAAGTCCGGAAAGAATAATGAGACCCTAGGCAAAATTGGCTGAGCTGGTGAATGACGCTTGACTGTTGTGATACGTGGGGTTTGGGTGAGGCCGCTTCCAGAAACACTGTCCTACTCATTGCCGGAACAAAGGGCTCTGGTGCTGCTTTGGGCCAGCTTACAATGGAATTGGAATTTAGAAAATCATTTGTCTTTTAAATACTTAACATTTATTTTCAGCAGCTCAACATCCAACTATTCGTGCAGGTGGGTGGGTAGAAAACTTCAAGCACCACCACCCCCTTTGCAGCTTCCATTTGGTGTGGATAATGTTTACAGACAGCTACTGGTGGCATGGGTCTCTTTCCATGAATGATAACAGCACTTTTTCCTTGGCTGGATGCCATTTCTCCAGTTTGAGCCCATGTGATTGTTTTCACCCATATTGTTTGAGACTCTTGACTGTTACCTCAGCTGCATGGGAGCTGCTCATAGTAAAATGGCTCTCATATACTGAGAGTAACATTGAAAGCGAAGGTAGCCAACACACTGCCTCCGGGTGTTGTTGAACTACTGCATGGGTAGGCAAACTAAGGCCGGGGGCCAGATCCAGTCCAATCACCTCAATCTGGCCCGCAGACTGTCTGGGAATCAGCGTGTTTTTACATGAGTAGAATGTGTGCTTTTATTTCAAATGCATCTCTGGGTTATTTCTGGGGCATAGGAATTCGTTCATATTTTTTTCCAAAATATAGTCAAGCCCCCCACAAGGTCTGAGGGAAAGTAGACCGGCCCCCTGCTGTAAAAGCTTCCATCATCCCTCACCATTGGCCGTGTTGGCTGATGCTAATGGGAATTGTAGTTCAACAACATCTGGAAGACAATATGTTGGTTACCCTTGGTTTAAACCACCTTGAATTAGCAAAGAAACCCTGTCAACAACATGATCTTCCTAGATAAATGTTTTAAGGCATTGCTTGTGGCCTTTTTCCTGCTGCTTGTAGTAATATCTACTAACTACAAGCAAATGAATAAACTGTTCTGAGGAAGTTGATATAAAGAAAGGAGTAGTCATGAACACAAGTGTAACTCATGTTGAGGTACATGAAACAAGATACTGTTCCATTTTCAAATGCCTAATGGTCAATTCAGAACATGAAGTTTACCTGCTAAGAGTGTGTCACAGATTAAGTCAAACTTCACATAGGATGGAAACTTCAGGTATGGTAGTTTGGTTTCATTCATAAAGTACACAAATCATGACTGGATAAGGGGGATTCTTAGCAGCAACCAGTGATATATATAACTCTAATAAATTTTATTCTAGGACTAAATAAAACCATAACTCCTAAACTTGTGTCATTGGTTAAACCGTGCTCTGTGCTTTATGTATTAAAATTGGCATCGCAGTAGCAAATGTTTTGGGAATTCTTGGGCAATAGTAAATGCAAGTCTTGGACAATTCAGTTTGCAGCTTTAAAGGCATGAAGTTATGGTCTCTTCATGTTATCCCTTTCTATATTCACCACTGATTCTATATGCTGTATGGGTTGTGTTTTTTGCAGGGCAAAAAGGATGTGGCTCAGATATTCAACAACATTCTGAGGAGGCAAATTGGTACAAGAACCCCCACAGTCGAATACATCTGCACTCAGCAAAATATACTGTTCATGCTGTTAAAAGGGTGCGTATAGTATGTTGTATAAACAAACATAAACTGCTGTACTCCCAGCTTAAGACTAGGTCACACCCCCACCTTCTCCTGCTCTCTTCAGTCAGGTACGCTATCGGTGATTGGAAGTCGAACTGAGCTGTGAAAAACAGATTGCTGAAGTTGCTTGCATGGTCATAGGTATTTGCTAGAAAAATTCAACCAAAATTATGAAAGTGACTCCTGACTGTATGTGGAAGAGACCTTAAAGGGCAATGGAGACACTGTGTTTGAAGCTCATGCGTTCATAAATGATATGAATTCCATGTTTGGTTTCTCTTTGAATGAACTGAATCATTACTCTTCCAAGGGAGTAACTAATACTTAAAACACATTGGACAGCAAATCACCTCCTGTGTTCCTTTGAGGTCATCTCCCCTTTTGTTCTTGCATTTGGTGCCTTCCCTTCTTTCCTAAGTTGTGTTTGACCTGGTTCACACTTAATGCTAAGCCATACCATGGTTTATCACAAATGTGTAGGCTACTGAAAAGGAGATTGCAGCCATTTTTCTACTCTTCTGGTCCCCACTGCTGTGACTTAAGGCATGGTTTGGCTTAGCATAGAAGTGGCTAACCTTTTAAAAGGACATACTTTGGCATCACAATAAGGAACCTACAGGAGTGTTCAGTCATTATATTTTAAAATAGTAGCAAGACCAGAGGAGGAATGACGCAGTCACAATCTCCCTATCATGCCTTCATACTAAGCCATAGTTTGCCTTAGTGCTATGCGATAACTGAGCCTTTTTGCTTAGAAACGTTCACCTTAAAGTTTCCCTATAGGATCCCAGTTTGGCAGCGGTTTTGCACATAGAATTATCTGACTCTGCGAACTGGGCCAAGACATTTGACCCTGTTCCTATTGTTCACAGAGCAGAACTTCAAACTGAAGTCATGCTCCACAATTCACCCTGTGGCTTGTGATACACAATCCATATCCTTGTAGTTATGATACACCGTTGGCTCAGGCTTGCCCAGACAAAGGCTAATTCATTATGTGTACTCCCTGCCATATTGCTGTTTCCGCTTCTTATATTAATTGCATTGTTTCATTGAAGCATCATGCTTGGTTTTTTTAACATTCTAACAATGAAACAAATGTGACACTTTACACCAAATTAATGGATAATGTAAGTGTTGGTGCTGTTTGAAACAGAGGGGTATTTGAGATTGTTTTCTTCCGTACTTAAGGAAATGACATCTCTTCCTTTTTTAAAAAAAGAAAAAAACCCTATGAAAACGGTTAATTGAGAGCTTGCCAACCTTAAAACACTTTGGAAGCCTTTCACACAACAGAACCCAGTTATTTTTCTTTGCTATTTTTTCTCATGATGATGATGATCTCAGTTGCATTTGGCCAAATGTTTAGGGTAGCTTCTGTTTTCCTTTCTTACACCAGCTAGTTCTTGGGGGAAAGCAGTATAGCATATTTTTGAGGTGCTTAGTTTTGCATGCATAAATAGCTTGATGCTCTCAGAACGAGATGCTGTGTTCCTTAACTAGGAAGATAGATAATCTTAAAATATTAGAGAGGCCACATTCATCCCACATTTCCAGACCAATCCACTCTGTACATCACCGAATGCAGCAGGATATCCCAAACAAGCATTGTGTTCTGAACAAATTAAACTACTTACTTACTTATTCAGATCTTGCCCATCCAAGTGTAGGTAACAGTGCATTAATCGCCACTAAATGTTAAGATCACTTTAATAGCTAAGGTGCAATCTAGGTAAGTTTAAGTTCAAACTACTGAGAGCTTTTTCAGTCAAACCAACACAAATATGGTAAGAAGCCTTTGCAGATAGTGGAGAACCAGTGTAAATGCTCCTGACATTCCATCTCCATGAGGAAGCTTTGAAACCCCTTTATACTTTATTTGGAGCTTCCAAACAATTAAATTCAGCTTTGTGTTCAGTGCATTTTAAAGGTGTGGATGAGGGTCATTAAGTCTGAAAGACTAAAGAGACACAGCTTTCTAATCATACGAAGTTTGTAATAAGTATTATTGACCTCTGTTGCAACCTAAGCCTTTGTAGATTAGCAGCATGTGAGGTTATGAACCTGACTGTCATAGAAAGGGGAAAATAGTTGTTCCAGAGCCAAATTATCTGAAGAATCAATCTCTCATACCAGTGGGCATATATGTTATGACTGTCTGCAGAGGCCTTGCTCCAAATGCCTCTAGCTTCAGAAGGTAAACAAGGAGTGACAGAGGCCTTTTCTGGAATGCAGACTTATCCTTTTGAACTACCTCCCAGACTAGATTCACACAGCACCCTTTCTTGGCTATTTCATAATTTGCTGTTGCTGCTGCCACCACCGCAACGTAGTATCTTTAAAGAATATTTGCCAATATAATCTACAAACATAGATGGTGAGGAGGTTCAATATTTGTATTAGTGAATTTTGCTACATCAATCCCTTCAAAGGTATTAGAGTGTAAGCCATTGAAAGAGCAAAATTCTAATCTAGAATCTAGAATTTGCTATTTCCACAGGCCAGGATCTAACTTGCATCACTGTGTGCAAGTGGAAAGCCAATCTGTGCATGCAAAAGGAGGAAGGAGATTGGCAGTGTTCAGTTGCTGCTGTATCTCTTCACATTGCTCCAGGGGATCGCCACACCTTTTGGATGTATCCTGGCAACCATATATTAAATGGCAATTCAGCTATTTGTGGTAGATCTTCCTGACAGTCAGGCAATTTGAAAAAATTGAACTGGTGCACAATATTGAATATAAAATTAATAGGACATTGATCAGTGTAGTTGTAGATAAGTGAACTGTGAAAGTGTTTTGAAAGTGCAGATGTCTATTCCTAGATTACTTATCAAGATCAGTGCCACCCTAGTGAGAGTGTTGCCATTGAAGAGTGGCACAGAAAATGTTAAAATAGTTTCACTGAAATTGTAGTATTTATTTTACTAATAAATATTATATACAGTAGTTGATGAAACTTTAAGGAGGTAAAAAGTTTGCTGTGATCATATTTCTCTTTCTGAATTAATTACGTTGATGTCTCACTTTGCAGTTACGAATCCCCAGAAATTGCTCTGAATTGTGGAATCATGTTAAGAGAGTGCATCAGACATGAACCACTGGCAAAAATAATCTTGTGGTCAGAGCAGTTTTACGACTTCTTCAGATATGTGGAAATGTCAACATTTGACATCGCTTCAGATGCTTTTGCAACTTTCAAGGTAACACATTCTGAATTTTGACAGCTACTTCGTATCTATCTATCTATCTATCTATCTATCTGTCTCACACCTTCCCCATGAAATTTCAGAAAAACATACAACACATAACAAATATATAAAATCTCTTTACAACAATCTAATATCAGCAGCTAGCAGCCATAGAACAGCATTAACGAAATCACAACAATTTGAGCAGTAAAAATACCCTTTAATTTTTTTTAACTGCTGCAGGAGCAGACGAGCCTTGCATAACTTCCTGAAGGCAAATATAAACTGTTGCATTCTTCACATTAATTGTGTGACTTCAAAATATCTGCAGAGGTGGTAGGTTGTATCCACCTGCTACTTAGAGTAGACCCATCAAAATTAATGGACCTTAGTCATGTCAAACTTAGCTGGCTATGTAGCATACAGACAAAATTCCTTCCATTGTGTGATCTATAATTGGCTGTAGAGTAACCCATATACAGTCATACCTCGGGTTGCGAACATGATCCATGCAGGAGGCATGTTCACAACCTGCAGTGCCGTGTCTGCGCACGCGCGTGATGCGATTCGGCACATGCGCGTGATGTCATTTTGTGTTTATGCGCATGCACGAGCGCCGAAACCTGGAAGTAACCCGTTACAGTACTTCCGGGTTCGGTGCGGTCCGCAGCCCAAAAACATGCAACTTGCAACGTTCATAACCCGAGATATGACTGTAAATAATTGAGGAAGATTACATAGTATGGTTATGAGAAAGTAATTAGCACCAAACAGAACGGAAAAGGTGAATATGTTCAAGACTACAGGATTTTTAAGGAAAGTATTTTCCCAGAGCCCAAAACACTACTTCTGACCAGAAACAAAATGGCAGAACATTGGGTACTGCCCAAAAGCAAGCCAAAGTGAATTCATTGTTCCACATTGAATTAAAGTGTGAGGGCCTCTGCCATTGAAAGAGAGAGAATTGTAATCAATGTTAAAGGTAAAGGGACCCCTGACCATTAGGTTCAGTCGTGACTTGACTCTGGGGTTGCGGCGCTCATCTCGCTTTATTGGCCGAGGGAGCCGGTGTACAGCTTCCGGGTCATGTGGCCAGCATGACTAAGCCGCTTCTGGCGAACCAGAGCAGCACACGGAAACGCCGTTTACCTTCTCGCTGGAGCGGTACCTATTTATCTACTTGCACTTTGACGTGCTTTCGAACTGCTCGGTGGGCAGGAGCAGGGACCGAGCAACAGGAGCTCACCCCGTCGCGGGGATTCAAACCGCCGACCTTCTGATTGGCAAGTCCTAGGCTCTGTGGTTTAACCTACAGTGCCACCTGCGTCCCAATGTTAGTCCTACTCAAAATAGAGCCATTTAAATTGACATGACTAAGGTCCATCTTGGCTGCCATTTAGAAGAGGAATTGCCCGAAAAGAGTGAAATATTGTCATTTCTAAAAGTGTGGCTTAAGAAAACCAGAGAAGCATATGAAAAAGGCTGCATATAACAACCAGGGGTAAAGGGGGATACAGTGAAGAACTGTTGCACCCTGAACTATAGGGTAGGAATGGAAATGCCATTTAAATAACCGTGTAATCTCTTGTTTTCAGGACTTACTAACAAGGCACAAGTTGCTCAGTGCAGAGTTCTTGGAACAGCATTATGATAGGGTATGTACTTTTATTTCATTTTTTATTTCAATTATGTTGTTATTTAATAATGCTAATTATATCCTAATAGAAGTTTCAAGCTGTCCCTTCACAATGTTGCCCAACTGCTATCTGTTCAATTTTTATTATTCTTATTTCCATATCAATGCAAGTTCAGTGTTTGACAGCAAACTCTTGCAACTGCACAGTTCTAAAAACACTGGGAATGAAATTGTATGTTAAGAAACCTGTTTCCTTGGTGTGCCAGAATAATCACAAGGGCATGTGTGACAACCGTGCTCCATCTGCTGGTCACATCTGATAATGAAAATGTCAATCTGCTTGTGTTCCCTGTCATGTTCTTGCCTAAAGAATTGCCTGAAAATTTCCTTCAGCCTTTCCACTTGATCATACAGAAATTGAAGCAAAATACTTGAAATGTTTAAATCTTTACATTATTTCTGTGTTTAATATTTGTGCTTCCAGTTCATTGAAATCATTTGGAATCAGAGTGCTTGTGATAGTTAGATTTTTCTTTCTTTCTCCATTCAGTTCTTCAGTGAATACGAGAAGTTACTCCATTCAGAAAACTACGTGACAAAACGACAGTCTCTTAAGGTAGAGAGACCTTACTGACTTTAATTATTTTGACATTAGAAAATATTATGAAGAACTTAATTTCAGCAGGTAGGACCAAGTTAGCTATTCATTCTACATTGTCTCCTGATCAGTTAAGAAAGTTTTGAAGCATGAGGTTTTATACTTTAGGAAACCAATATTCTAACATTTAATGGTTAGTACAGGTTCTATAACTGCAAGACTCAAACATTTTGCAAATGTTGAGTAAAAACCTGGAAAGTTTTTGTTTCCTAAGGTGCCTCATCAGTATATCAATATATTAATATACACATGGACACATACACAACCCTTTCCCCCAAACCTTGATTCATATCAACAGTTTCACTATAAAAACAAACAGCATGATCTAACATTCTGCACTCATGAAGTTCAAACTATAGAAATGTCTATGTCCACCCCAAGGATCAAGTCTTTATGCCCCTCATAGAGCTCATGCTTTGCCATAATAACCAATGCTGAACTTGACTAGCCCATTGAGGTCCTCAAAATCTTACAGATGGCCGTAGTGTGTTTTCTCCTTGTGCTGTAAGTCAGAAGACTTGTCAGGATTTTGTTGGCCACACTCCCCATACGGTATCCTTTAAACTCTGGTTTAATTTGGCACAAGATTGCTTGCACATATTCTCCTGTGTTACCTGCAACATACAACAAATAACAATGGATTGCATCCAATTTTTCCTGAAGTCGTCCAAATTATGCAGACTCAGTAATACTAGTTTAGGTAGCACTAGAACAGAGTTGTAATAGAATATAATACCAGAAATTCTGGCTCTTGAAAAAAATCATTGTGGCTAAAGAACAAAAAAAGGTTGATTGAGTTTTATAGCCCTAATGGAAAACTTCCCCACTTCCCTCCCCCCCCCCTTCTTGTTTTTTAGCTGCTTGGTGAACTACTGTTGGATAGGCACAACTTCACAATTATGACAAAATACATCAGTAAACCTGAAAATCTCAAACTTATGATGAACCTTCTAAGAGACAAGAGTCGCAACATTCAGTTTGAAGCCTTTCATGTCTTTAAGGTAGAAACAGCTTTTAAATGTTGTTGATAATGGTATTCAACACTTCCTGTAAACAGAAGGTATCTAATCTTACATTGATCTAATACTACACCAGAGTGGCTTGACATAACTGAATGAGAAGTATTGGATAAGTATTGGAAAGGGTGGGTGGGGTATGTTGTACAAAGCAAATTCTATTTCAAAGTCAAATTTATTTTTTAATTGAATCCATCTCTGAGACTGGCTTATCATTTTCCCTAAAACATTCAAATAAATATATCACATGCAGCTATTTTGAAACAAACAGATCCCCTACATTTTTCTGAAAAGAAGCCCCTTAATATTGCATGTAATATTTGTTTTTAATATCCTGTGACAAACAAAAGTTTCTGCATGAATTATTTCATTAATTGCACTAATGAGTATTTTTCAACACAACCCTTTGTAAGCAGTTTTGCTTGGTGCTACTTGGATTGCGAATATGCATATTCAAATGCACTAAATCATTTTGAAAATAGTATCTAAGAACATTTGTTCCATTAATAGGTTAAACTAATGAATTCCAGGAGGGAATAATCCATTCTGTTGTTTTAAGTGATGCTTGGTCCTTGTCACTAAGAAGACAGATGCTAATAATTGCACAAACATTGTCTGTGGGCTTTTAGCACCTTGTAGACTTGGCTCATACTTTACATAAATGTAAATATTCCTCGGAGAGTTAATATTTTCTGATATATTAACTGAACTTTTCCTATTCTGACCATCTTCTTTCATTGCAGGTGTTTGTAGCCAACCCTAACAAGACGCAGCCTATATTAGATATCCTCCTAAAGAACCAGACCAAACTTATTGAGTTCCTCAGCAAGTTTCAGAACGACAGGACCGAGGATGAACAATTTAATGATGAGAAGACCTATTTAGTTAAACAGATCAGGGATTTGAAAAGACCAGCACAGCAAGAAGCTTAATCTCCTATAAACCCCTAAAATATTAAATCCAAATTCAGCATTTGCTGTTAGATATTCAGCATCAGGCACTCTTATCAATTCATGAGGAACATTACTGCTAATCTGCTGTTCAGTGAACAGTGTTTGTTTTTCTCTCTTTTTTTTTAGTCCAAGTTGACAAACCTAGCTGCTGCTTTCTTGCACAATGTGGACTTTCTTGGTATTTGTGTCTGAATTCAAGCACACTGCTTGTTTTTAGAAGTTTGGGGGGCGGGGGGAGATTGTTGGTTCATGAAAGCAAACATATAGAAGATAGTTTGGGATAGGAAAAGAAGGTATTAGAGTAGTTTAAGTGACGGGGTGCATGCTTGCAAATCTGATTCAATCCGTACGTTTGCACTTAACCTTGTATGAGATGCGAGCACAATGTTATCTGTGCATACTTGGCACCATAGTATAAGATTGTATGCCTTGATTTTAAAAAAAATGTGCAGTGCTTTATGTGTAATCAAAGGGGAAATGTGAGCTTACTGGGATGAACAGTTGTCTTGCAAATAAAACTGATACTGAAACATAGCAACTTCTAAAGAGTGAAATCTCAGAGTTCATAAGGAAAATGTATATATGCCTTTCACTGCTTTGTAGGTTTTTTGTTTTCTTTGGAGAGAGAGAGTGTGTGTGATTTTGTTGAAAATTGAGTTGTAGACTTGGAAATACATTCTAAGGGTTTTTGTTAATTTTACTTTGAAGGTATTTCAGACAGTAGAGCTTAGCAGTGACACTTTGCATTTCATTTCAACAATGCTTGTTGGTTTCTTTTGTATATAACTCCTAGGCTGCTCATTTCTTTAAAAAGGATTTAATTTGTACAGCAGAGGAATGTTAATGTATTAGTCTGTATCTTTTACCTGATACTGAGTTTTGCAAAATGAAAGCTCATCTGTAATGAATACTTAGGATCACATGGAAATGCTCATTTCACATTTCTTAAATACAGCAGCATTAAAAAGAAGAAAATCCAATTTTTCTGTATTCACTGGTTTAATGGGGTGCCATCAGTTAGGGTAGACTAAAATATAGTTCTGGAACCCACTAACCTATATCCTTCAATGTTGGCCTTATTCATCTATATTAGTGCTGTGTTCAGCCAATTGCAAAATTATAAAGATTATGCTAAATTAATATCAATTTGTTTTTCCTTGTGGGTACATAGAGAATCTCTATTCCTTTCATATCGTTAACATTCGGTATGGTAGTTGTGATAGTAAATAACTTAATAATTCCCCTTTACTTCAAAAACCATAATTTCATAACTGTCCTAGTGTCAATATCTTGTTTGTTAATGCTGCAAACTATCAGTATTTATTTTTTAAGAAAGACTGATGTTGCACCACTTTTTGTTACTGTGATCATAACAAAAAAAAAAATCTGCTAAATATATCTCAACTATGTTATCAAAATACTATCTATTCATCTTAATAGTAGTACTGAGATCACAACCAGCCAGCCAACTTTATGGATTAGGAGTATGGAAGTTCAAATTCTGCATGATTGAACCTGAATGAGAATGCTCTAAAATTATTTATTGCTTTCTAGCTTCTTTCTGGTTAAATTATTTCACAAATGATTAAACTAATCTCCTGATTGACACCTTAGCTAATTTTTACAGCTTTCATGAAGGAAGTAGGAAAGTAAATCCAGCAAATAGGATTCTAGTAATATTGGCCATCTCAGCATTGTCATGCTTCCTTTAGTGGTCATAACCTGTCCTTTGCAAAGTGATTCATAATGTCTACTGAAAGAAGAAAAAGTAATCATTAAGCCTTTATTAAATCATTTATATAGACAGGCAAAACTGGCCACGAGATGATATTATAGTTCAGTACTCTGTCCTTTTTTATATTTTGGTTAATCGTAGTTAAGAAAAGGAAAATATTACTTGGCAAGTTATTCTCCATTATGCATAAGGCTTCCACTTTAGGGGGGAAATGTAGAAATGCTAAAAAGTTATGTATGTGTATATATAAAGAAGTTCAAAGATGGATTTGGATATTGGTTTTGCTTCTCTACTATTTGGCATGGGAGAAAGTGGCTCTAACTTTTTTCAAACATTAATCCTTGGAGTGTTGGCATTCAAAAAAAGTTGTATTTAAGACCATTTGATGTGCTATTCATATTAAAAAAAACTATTGTACTGGAAGTGGTTTCTTATCTGTGTGAAGGCTTAAAGATATTACTAAAAGTTATTTAATGTGAGAAGTGTTTTTAAACAAAAAAGATGTATACAATTGTAATTCTACTTCCACAAAAGCATTTCATTTCTTCAGATGAATGCATTTCTTAGAAGATCTGGCTGGCCCCATAATTTAAATAGAAATAAAATTTTGAAGAAACACAATTGTGTGTTTTATAATATTTATAGAGGGGGGAAGAACCCACCTGAATCGGATTATTTCTTTTAAGAGGTATATATTCTGCACTTCTTGTGAATGCAGTTGAAACCTTAATGCAATATATATACAGTATATATAAATAGCCATCTACACTTGCAACAATATATAATACTTCTCCAACCTTTGCATGTTAGGTTTATTTCTATCTTACACAGAATTTAAATTTTTCTAATAGAAACTCTGTTTTTCCCACATATAGGTAACATCTCCTGGACTGATCTAAATCACAAACTTAACTACCCTGTCTTTCTTCAAAGTTCCATGGAAATTTATCATTTGGTGAACATGTATATTTGGGTGAAGATGCTGAGAATTCAGTTAAGACACTCAACTGCAGCTCCACGAGAGAGGGAATGACTTAAGCCCATTTTAATATGGATTTGTTCCCCAATTCCCACAAGCCACTTGGAGAGGTGGATGAGTTTGCCCACCTGTCAATCACCATGACATCTGATGCAATCATACCATGCAGGCAAAGGAAGAGCCCAGAGTATTATGAATAAGATACTATATTGCATCCTAGGTTGCCTTGGCTATTTCCAATCTAAGGGAGTTTCACACACCTAACTTTGGGGGTCCCCCCTCCCCATTAATCAGAGGTTCATTTACAACCTTAAAAAAGAGCAGTAAAGAGCAGTTTTTTCCAGTCTCTTTATGTATATCATATTAAAACTAGCTATGGTCTTCCTCTTCCTTGTTATACACTTAAATTGTGTATCTTGAAGCCTGACTCAAAGATTGGAATGTAAAACTTAATGCACCTTTAAATAACATATTTGTTGAAGTACAGTTCTCATAATTTCTGCAAGATTCTTGACATCCCCTTGTATCTTTTACCGCTGCTCCCACCAGAATCAAGCAGACTGCCAAAATAGCAGGGTGTCCTTTGGGCTTAGCTGCAAAGCAAGATAAGTCAGGTGTTAAGTTGATCCTCACCTCTGTACAAAGGTGCAAATTATATTTAAATCTTCTTAGCGGTAAACCAAATTGGGCTACTCTAGGAGGGAACATTTAAATTGCTTTAAATTAGGATCTTTCTGAGTGTTCTTAACTTCTTAACCTAGGAGTGGGTAGGGGGTATCATTAGAAGTCATATATGGATATCTGGTTTTCCCAGCTTTACTCCTAATCCTAACCTAAAATACCCTGTGAATCAGCAGGTGCCTTCATTTAGTGAATTATTTTAACACCTTGCCACTCCATTTTGGTAGGAATAGATCTTACTTGGGGTACTAAGTCATCATCTCTCAGTTCCCAATCTCTGCATATACAACTCCTTTCCCTGCTTCTCACCCTTTATTTATAGATGTCCCACCTTTCTTCCAGTACAGAACCCAAGGACTTTGTGGGCAATCTTAGAGGGCTGGGGCCATCATAACATGGCAGTGGTGGCCCAAGTGGACAGGGCAATGGTGGGCAGCTCTTAGCTTTAATTGTATGGTAGAACACATTCCACCCACACAAAGTCAGAGGTTTTTACACACAGACGCACCCCTACACCTTCTCCCATCTCATATCTAGGGAAGCATGAGGCATTATCGCAGTTCAATGACACAATCTGGTCAAGCCAAACCACTCAAGTGTGCAAAGAAGAACTGATGAGAAAATCCTGAGGCAAGAAAAAGTGCTGGAACCAAACTATACTTGACTATTACTGCTTGGTCTCCGCAGGCGCCATCACATTTGTTTGTGGGTGTTACAGAGCCTGTAGGCACTGCACTGGTAACGTCCCCAATAGCACTTTGGTCCTGTTTCAAACTACAGTGGTGCCCCACAAGACGAATGCCTCGCAAGACGGAAAACCCGCTAGACGAAAGGGTTTTCCGTTTTTCGATGTGCTTCGCAGGACGAATTTCCCTATGGGCTTGCTTCACAAGACGAAAATGTCTTGCGAGTCTTGAGATTTTTTTCCGCTCCCCCCCCTTTTTCTAAGCCGCTAATAGCCTTTTAGCAGCTAAGCCGCTAAGCCTTTAATAGCCGCTAAACCGCTAATAGCGCTAATCCGCTAAGCCGCTAATAGGGCTGCTTCACAAGACGAAAAAACCGCTAGACGAAGAGACTCGCGGAACGGATTAATTTCATCTTGCGAGGCACCACTGTAGTCATTTTCAATTACAAACAGCCTCACTATCTGTGGCATTGCACCTGCTTGGATAACAACTGAATAACCTTCGGGTACAGTTTGGCAGCAGTTCCCTTGATCATGGTGACATTTTGCCCAGTAGCTTTGAACATGAGAATTGTTTCTTGTTTCATCCATGATTGCCTAGTACATACCTGGCAAGCTATACAGAAACAAATTCCTGTGTCAAGTGTCCTTTGAAGGAGAATGGACAGGGTGTATAAAATTTCTCCCTTTTTAGCCACTCCTCTTCTTCGCGACATAAATTCATCGTTAGTCTGCCCATCTCCTGAATCTTTGGGGTCTTCCAGCATTATTCTTTTCAAAAAGCTCAGCAATCTGGCAGGTGCTCTCAGCCATGTTTGAGTCTTATCCAACGGCCTCCTCAGACATGTTTTGTTAAAACATCCAGACATGTTTGTTTTTTAAAATAATTTTTATTGATTTTTGCACAAATTTTCCAACATAACAACTCCAAAACATCCAGACATGTATTCTGCAAAGTGCTTGACACTCATAGCGCGTTAGTGATGGAGTTAATTCTGTTTTATTAGTTCTGAAATGCTCCCCCAATGCTAACACATCATTTCCATGCATCACTGCCAAACTTTGGAGGTACGGACGGTGTTGAAAGCAGGATCGCGCACAACCAATAGCATCATGAGTGCAAATAATCATGAATGCACAATAAAAAGGAGATCTGGAGGAGACCCAAAGCTGGCTCCTTGTCTTCCTTAAAGACCTTGTGAATTGTTACCCAATTACTGGCCCAGAGAAGAAAATGTATGTCTGACAAAAATCCGGGGAAATGTGCAACTGTGTAAAACATACAGTCTATGGCAGGCTTCCTCAATCTTGGCCCTCCAGGTGTTTTTGGCCTACAACTCCCATGATCCCTAGCTAGCAGGACCAGTGGTCAGGGATGATGGGAATTGTAGTCTCAAAACATTTGGAGGGCCGAGGTTGAGGAAGCCTGGTCTGTGGTGTTACCTGGCCTAGCTAGCTGCTGCTGCTCTACCACTAAACTGCAAATCTAGAGTCCCTGCTTGGCATCTTTAGTTCTGAGCAGCTTAGATGTGTTTCCTTCTAAGTTCACAGCTCTAACCTTCAAATGTTTCTTCTTTGCACCTTGGTGCCAAGAAAATCGCTAGGAAATGAGGCAACAATTTTATACCTCTGTGGCGTTAGAATAAGCATGACCCTTGAGAGTTGGTTTTGGTTTTAACCCAGTGTCTCCTGAAGTACCCCCTGCTTTTTTTAAACACTGGTGGATATTAATTCAGCATATGAATGTACATGAACTATGCTATCTATATTTGAAAATAAAATAGGGTGGGAGGTGGACAACAAAATGCTAAGCAGTGTGGGTAGATGCAGAACACTTAACAGACTATGAAGGAGGACTGGTACTGTGTATGCAGTGATGTAGTGGTAAACTTTGAAGCGCAGGAGCTCATCCTAACAGTCCCCATATCCACGCCGCCCCCCTCAAGAGTTCAAAACTGCAAGCCACAGTATCGACCAGCTTATTATACACACAAACCACACACCAAAGAAGGCAGAACCCACAGGGCCAGCAAGTTCAGCCTGTGATGCAATGATGATAATAATTAATAGCATAAGAAAATACAAAGGGACTTAACCGGTCACAGTCTCCTTGTGCTGATCTCACATCAACAGAGCGGCTGCATTCTTCACCACTTGCTTCTTTCCCAAATACCAATGAACAACTATCAGGAAGGGATTGCGGCCCCATTTACAATTGTTAAAACTGCCGCATCTGCAACCCTCCCTTCATAGGCGAGTATTTTGGTGCAGGCTCATGGCTCCCATATCTGGGACCCAACTCTTGAGGGCACCCCCTGGGGCATGGTGCAGTTCTCAAATGACAATACTTTGTCGCTGGAAAAACACAATTTCACTGTCCGGCAAAACCTGTGGTTGACTGGAATGTGGTGTGACAAGTGTCATGGGGCACGTATTGGTTAGCACTTATGAAATCAGTGGTGACCAGTGGTAGTCTTCCTGTGTCATTTTGTGAGCACATTTTAATATGCCTTAAGGTGATTTTTGAGAGCTTTCAGCTGAACCATTCCAGCAGAAGCAGGATGTAGCATTTAAAAGAGATTGGAAATGGGGTGAGAGAGAAAAACTGGTGAGCATCATTGCTCTTTATTTGTTTATTATGCTTACTAAGTCACTTATTAGTGTATTACACTATTTGAAATAGTGTAATATCCATTTAGGGATGCGGGTGGCGCTGTGGGTTAAACCACAGAGCCTAGGACTTGCCGATCAGAAGGTCAGCGGATTGAATCCCCGTGACGGGGTGAGCTCCCATTACTCAGTCCCTGCTCCTGCCAACCTAGCAGTTCGAAAGCACCTCAAAGTGCAAGTAGATAAATAGGTACCGCTCCGGCGGGAAGGTAAACGGCGTTTCTGTGTCCTGCTCTGGTTCGCCAGAAGCGGCTTAGTCATGCTGGCCACATGACCCGGAAGCTGTACGCTGGCTCCCTCGGCCAATAAAGCAAGATGAGCATCGCAACCCCAGAGTCGGTCACGACTGGACCTAATGGTCAGGGGTCCCTTTACCTTTAATATTCATTTACATCCATCCATCCTCCCAAAGAGCTCAAGGCAATCTACAGCGTTCTCTGCTTTGCTCACCAGGGTATACTTACAGCAACCCTGTCAGGTACACTAGGCTGAAGTAGCCAACATGGTGACCTGCGTATGCTGTTGAACTACAACTCCCATCAGCTCCAACCAGCATGGGCAGCAGCGGTCTGGGATAATGGAAATTGTAGTTCAACAAAATCCAGAGGTTACCATGTCG